ACGCATGAAAAACCTGTACACTGATAGCGACCAGATCAAGTGGTACCGCGTTGGCTGTGCACACTCACTCAGTTTGAAGGAAGTGCTGGTATCCGAAAACGTGTGTAGCCAATGTGGTGCATTCGGAGCGAAGTGTTCACAATGCACCTACTCCGGTTGCTTTCGTGGTCCTGTGAACCAGCTTCTCGCGCATCGATGCACCAACACCAATTGCCCTGCCCGTTTCTCACGTGAGACCATCTACCCGTACATGCCGCTTATTCCGCGTTTGAGAAACATGTTCGCGGATGAAAATCAAGTCAAGGGCCTCGTCGACAGGTTCGGCATCGACTTCAGCGATCCGCAACAAGTTCAAAGAGCCTTGACCGACGATTGGCCGTCAATCATCACCAGGCACAACGACAAGCTTGACTCATTGCGCAGCTTCAGCCACCCGCTGGAAGGGCTGCATTTCCGTACACCAAGTCGTCGCACGTTCCTGTCAGAGTCTCCTTGGAACATCAGCCTTGCTTTCTTCTATGACGGGTAAAGCGCTTGAAAGACCATGATGGCGGGAATTGACCGAGAAAGGACTATAGACTCACCAACTCTGCTGGTTTAGATTTGACCCATATTACACCTCTTCCGCCAAGATGCATGTCTTGTGTTTCAGGCCCCTCAACATGAACACAGCAATAGCACATCGATTCATCTGGCCTGTCTCTTTTCTGCAGGTACGCTGCTGGCAAGCAACGTTATGCTCATGCTGGAGGTGGATGTTACTAAGATGGTCTTCTTGGTGGTGGCGTAGGGGAAGGAGCCGAAAAGTCTAATGCCATATTCAAGGCCCATGCTGCAAGAGCTCAAGACGCTCTCTAAGGATGGGGTGGTTGTTTACAACGCATTGCTCCAAAGGGACGTGATTGTGAAGGCTGAGCTGCACCTACTCACGGCTGACAGTCCAGCGCGAGCCAAAGTGCTGTCACTCGTGGCTCCCACTGCCTACAACGGTTGCTGCTATTGCCCAATGTCGGCCCTTGCCTGCAACTGCCGGAAGCACCGCGACTGGTCAAAAGCTGCAGCTTCCGACCGCACCCACTTGTCAGCAAACCAGTTCACCAATTTCAACTATTCTTTCGTGGGAAAGCTGCCCTACATTACGCCTCCCAACACATGCTCCATCGAGACCAGCTTTTGCTCGCTTGACACATTGCACAGCTTTATGCTCTGCAGTGGCAAGCGTTTACTCAGCCTGACTCTAGAATCGATGAAACCCTTCGTTCACACGGGCAAAGGATCCGTGCTTAGGAACAAGAGGGCTGCGCTGCTTGGCAACGACACGGTCAAGATTCTTGAAGTAGACCTGCGCTTGGCCATCACTGTATGGCCTGCCTTTGTCATGCGAAAGCCTCGACTTTGCTCTGCACACCACAAGTCGTACACTGCCGAGGAGATGCTCAATTTTGTCCTGGTCTGCGGCAAGCACATCTTCCTGGGTTTGGTGGATGAGAGAAAGCAAGCTATCTGGTGGAACTTTTCAGAAATGACGCGGATCGCCATGTCCAAGGTGGTTAAGGTCGACCCCACGACGCTTGACTCGCTCAACAAACTGACTTCCAATACCATCGGAATCATCAGTGAGACGTTTGGGAACTGCAACGTGCCCATCACTACCCACCATCTGTCTCATCTTGCCCGGGCTTGCCAGCAACATGGCCCGCCTGCACATGTCTCGACATTTCCGTTCGAGCGCGCGATCAACCAATACGGCCGCCTTATCCGCCCCGGTACTCACGACGAAATTGTTCCCAGACTGGTGGCCAGAATCGCACTGCAGGTCAACCCTGTGGTTTCCTACGCTCCAGGTCGCAAGTTTGGGGTGCTGACGCGCTTGCGTGTCCCTGAAGAAACGATGGAAGCCGTCGTGGCGAAGCTGGCCAATCACGAGCACGACGCTCCTTCTGGCTCGGTCTACACGGAAGCCTCGGTCTCCAAGCGGATGGCGGAATTCAAGGAGAAGGCTCAAGCGTTCCAGACACTGACCATGTCTGTGTGGGGATCGCGACCCGTTTCGCTCGCCAAGGTATCCGAAGCAACAGTTCTTCAGTTTGGGGACGTGGTTGTCAAGCCAGCCAGGTTTTGGCGTATCGACCAATCAATCTGGGTTGAGGTTGCAAGTTACTACCGTCCATCCGAACATGTGTACGGCAAGAACCCACTGTACCAGCCACTCCGCCCTCGCTTCGGACACGAGATCGTAGCTCTCGACAGCTTTACATGCAGCGGGTACTGTCACGAATTGACCAACAGCCAGTTCAAGCAAGTGAACGAGCAGTACAATGCCAATCGACGGCTAAAGAAGGTGATCCAACAGCAGAGTTTGCAGCGCGTGAACGAAGCGGACCAGGTCGACGAGCGTGCTCGATCTTGTCCGCAAAACGACCCAAACCCTCCAACTAAACCGCAATTCATCATGATTCTGTGGCATTTGAATATGCGTGATTTGTGTTAATTGTATTTGTAGCTAGAATGAGAGATATCCTGAGTGAAGAATTGGTGCACTGGTGCTGTCATTGAGTGGTGGCTGCGAAGTTGTGTCAACAGCGCTTTCCTGCGTCTGTGCGACCGTCCCCGACCGCCCCCGCATCAGAAACAACGCGTGACAACTGTATCACGTCACTGGACATGCAAAGGCGCGCGTTGACATGGCCTGGGGAGCAGTAGCAAGGAGGAGTGCCAATCGCAATGGACCGCCAGCCAATTCCCCTCCTCATCGTTTCGCGTTCCAGGACAGTCCCCGCCGTCCATTTTCCACAAATATGCACTGCAAACAACATATATTGCATACTCCGATTGAAAGAAACAAGCCAAACCCAAGCATTCGCAAGTTGAAAAACACCGAATTTTTGAAAAAATTCGGTCGTTCCGAAATTCGGAAAAAATTTTCCACTGTGAATGTTCGTCTTGATTTTTTTTTTCTGTCTGCGTTTTTTTAGTTGCTGGTTTTCTATTTTCTGCTCTTCATCGTGTGATACGACACACACACACCACAAACGCTCTATCCAACAACAAACCAATACAACATATGATTAGACAACACACTACACCAAAAACCGGAGTTGTGCGCGCCGCGACGCTCGGAATCAAGCGGACCAAACTTGTGTTCGCCAAACACTCTGCATCTTTGGCTTGACAATCGCAGTGCAACACTCAGATCTAATGCAATCGTGGAATATACGAATTATTACACAACTTTGAGCAGGAGGAGTGGGCAGCGCGTTCACCTGTTTTCTTGAGCGCGCGAGCAAAGTTGGTACTTTGACTTGACAATTGCTGACTGAAAGCAGGAACCGATTTTGCTCTTTCAGCCACTTTTTTATTTATGGGGCTGTTTTTTTAAAAAGGTAGAATCGCCATGTCTTTCACTCCCATCGCGTCGCTGAGCTCTGCAATTGTTTTCCCCTGCCCTGCAACCCCCGCCCGAGAGAGTAGACCATGTGTCTATGCCACTCGGTGCATCAGACCACACGCCGCTGTCCCGCCGGCGACTGTACGGCCGCGAGAAGGTGTGACGGTCAACGCAACCTCGTCGCAGCAAATCAGTGTCAGCGGGCTGCCACACCACATCAAATAATTCTTTAGATCGGAGATCGGGACAATGGCTGGTAGGGGCAGGAGGAGCCGGAAGCTGAGAGAGTGCATAAAACAGTTCAGCACTCGGTTTGGACATGCAAGAGTTGTTTTTTTTTTTTTTTTTTTTTTTTTTTGTAACCAAGTGTGCTGGGGCTAATCGCCCTCTACTGCGGCCCGATTATTGTTTGACAAGATGAACCCGCAACAGAATGTAGCAGTGGCACAGATTGAGGGCTGGGAAAAGCTTGGCTGAGAAATCACACCGCGACACAAACCGCTCCTTTTCTCGCTCCGCCCCGCCGCCCAACGCACTTCCGCTGCGCCCCCGACCCTCGAGCACACTGATGGCATGGTGTAAACCACACAATCAGAGCACCAGCGGCGGAAAGCGACGTAGGACACGGTGGTGGATATGAACGACATATTTTGGGGGGTTCACTCTACCTTTTTAAAAAAACGGCCCCTTATTTATTTTTATTTGCAGCGCTCTCTTCATGATTGATTGTTGTTGAGGGAAACCATCGCTCCAACAAACCACTCTCGCTTCTTGTAACATAAACAGCTCATCTCGATCAGTCTTGTTGTTTTTGTTTTTCTTGTACGTCCGTCGACCTCGTTCTCTGATTCTCAGTCACTCTGTGTTTGTGTCTCTCTCTCTCTCTCTCTCTCTCTCTCTCTCTCTCTCTCTCTCTCTCTCTCTCTCTCTATCTCTCTCTCTCTGCCTCTTCCTTGACTTGCTGCAGTGAACTCGCGCTCACACGCTCAGTGCATTCGAGCTGTTGTGTTGTGAGCTGAGTGGGTTTGTTTCTTGGTTTTTTTGTCATGTAAAGTCGGAGCCTCACAGAGTTCTTCGACGCCGGGCCCACATACACACATCACAAGTGAAGCCATGTTGCACATGACGCTTGCAAGTGTCGGGTTGTGAAGCGGGTTGAACGACACACCACGAGTGAGCGACAGAGAGCGAGAGAGCAGCGCGCTTCCCCCGTGATCTCCCTCATCCCCTAGCCCTTCCTCCTTGCCCTGCTATATCACTATCTTACTGTCTCACTGTTGACTTTGTCTGGCCTTGCGATCTGCTGCTTGTCTTGTTGTATGGACATTTGCTCGTCAAACAGGAAACAATTCATCATGTCTGCTTCTTCACCACCGGCGCAGGGCCAGGCCAACTCTTCTCACCCGACGGAAAACCGCCAGCAATCTGACAACGTCATAGTGGCCTACTACGCCAAGAAGGTGACCGACGTGAATTCTTTGGAGGAGATCTCAGAGAATATGAACCAGCTTCCTCAGCTTGTGAGCGGCATGCTGAGTGACGATCCAAGCGTGCAGTTCGACTGCACGATCAAAGTGCGCGAGATTCTTTCCAAGGAGAAGAAGCCACCGCTCGAGGCGGTCGTCGCCATCGAAAACGGTGCCGTGATTCCCACTTTGGTCGCGTTCCTCGACCGCGCCGAGAACCCCATCTTGCAGTTTGAGGCCTGCTGGGCTCTGACTAACATTGCAGTTGGTGCCAGCGAGTTTGTAGACCGCATAGTTCAGCATGGCGCCATTCCGCGTCTCGTGGCTCTGGTCAGCAACCGGGATGCGAATATCGCCGAGCAAGCTGTCTGGGCGCTTGGCAACATTGCTGCCGCTTCCCTACAGCTGCGCGACCTCGTCCTCAAGGCCGGAGTCGCGGCTCCCCTCTTCGCCCTCATTCGCCATAGTTGCCACATGGGGGTGATGCGCACCGCCGTCTGGGCCCTGTCCAACCTCTGCCGCAAAAAGCCTCCGCCACGCCTCGAGCTGCTTCCTGGCGTAGTCGAGCTCTTGCTGATCCTGCTCTACGTTCGGGACGAGCAGACTCTGTCCGACACGTGCTACACGTTGTTCTTCCTGGCCGACTCTGTCAACCAGTTCCTGCGCACTGGCTTCGTCGAACGCGTCGTGCAGCTGCTTCTCTTTCAAAACTCTGCCGTTGTTCTGCCTGCCCTGCGCCTCATTGGCCAGATTTTGGCGGGTGACAACCAGGTCACGCAGCTTGTCCTTGACACCAACGTCCTCGTACATCTCCCTGCTCTCCTGCAGGGCAATCACGAAGACATTCAGGCGTACGCGTGCTTGGCCATCTCCAACATTACTGCCGGCACTACCGAGCAAATTGAGGCTGTTTTCGCTGCCAATCTTGTTCCGCTCATCCTCAACCTTCTACGCAATGGCGCCCCCAACACGCGCAAGGAAGCCGCATGGGCGCTAGCCAATGCATGCGCTGGCGGCTCCGCCACGCAACTTGACCAGCTCATTGAAGCTGGTGTGTTTTTGCCGTTGTGCGACATGCTCTCGTGCACGAGCGCCAACCTGGTTCGCACGATTCTCATTGCCGTCAACAGGATGCTGTCCGTCCCCGCCGCCGCAGTCTCCCGTGACTTGCTGACTCAGTTGAAGGCGAACAACTACCACATTGCCGTCACAGGATTGACGCGTCATTCCACAGACGGTGTCTCCGAGATGGCCACTCAGCTGGCGCGTCTTCATTTGAAGAACAACGACCCGGTCGAATCTCCTGCTCCGCCCCAACCGCAATAGCCTAGTAGCTTGGTGGTTCTACACAACGCGCTTCTTGTCGTCCTGGTGGTCCTGCGCTTTTGGTTTTGATGCTCAGTGTTCATTCTGTCTATTATAAGACGTTACCGGCCTTTTAGGCAAAGCAAGTCGGATCCAGTTCCTGACAGTGCTGAGTTTTGACTTTGTTCAAAGGGGGCGGTGAGATCGACTGCAAATCCGCATTTGACAACATGTAAATCTGAAGCCGAAAACGCATCTGTGACGCCGCTCTCTACCCCCTCAATGCACTGTTCGACTGATGTTAAAGCACAACACCCCTTCGGGGTTCTGTGCTCGCGAAAATCACCAAAATTCAAACAACTCTCCACTGATTTCTCACTGATATTTCATCAAAAAGCGATTTAAATTCTATTGTTTGAAAAAACAAAACAAAAACACAGCTCAGCGCCACAATTTGTTGGCTTCCATCAACCAGTGTTTTGCATGCCTGCAGCAATGCCATGAATGGTAATGGAGAGAGTGTCACGCAGCTGATCAGCAGAGGAGCTTCCTGCACTTGGCTCGTCGTTCGAGCGAAGCCGGTGAAGCAGCTCTGCCTGCAACAAGTTGAGCGGATCGACGTAGGGGTTGCGGACGGACAACGCCGTCTGCAAGACAATGTTCTTTTCCTGCAACGCGCCCTCTCCCGTCACCCTTGCAAGTAGTGCTTTCGTGGTCTGCAGCCGCTCGCGGAGGTGGGCACCCAGTGCGCAAAGTTTGGGGTCATGGACGAGTAGTTCTTCGTATCGGGAGGCAATGCGGACCTCGGTCTTGATCAAAACCATCGCAATCAGATCCATGGTGCTCTGGAAGAACGGCCACTGCGCATACATTTGCTGCAGCAAGGGCAACTGCCCCTCATTGATTGCTCGTTCAAGCGCTTCGGGCAAGCCAAGCCAGACAGTCAAGTGGAAGCGCGACTGGGTCCATGCAAACACCCAGGGAATGGCGCGCAACGAGTCAATGCTCGAAATGGTCTGCTTGCGACGTGAGGGGCGGCTGCCAATCTTGAGCAGACTGCCAATTTCGGGCTCGGGCGTGGCAGCGCGAAAGTATGCCACAAAGTCTGGGTTGTTTACAACTTGCAAGTACGCGGCTGCCGACCACGCTCCAAGCTTGTCCATCAATTTTGTAAACTCGGCCGATGGCGGAGCAGCAGCGCGGTATTCCGAAGCCACAACCGCAGCAGCATAAGTGTCGAACGTCGTGTTGGCGACAGCAGGGTCGGCAAAGCGCTTGTGAATGACCTAGCGAGCGGGGTACAACAAAGACAAAAGGGACGAGAATTTGAGTAGGGCTCAACAAGCACGAAAAACAACAACAACAACAACAACAACAACAACAACAACAACAATAACAAACATTTGGCCAAAAGTTGCACCAACCTCTCCTTGCTCAGTAATACGAATATACTTGTTGACTGAACCAGCAGGTTGCGCCAAAATCGAATAAAATGCCGCGCGACCCTCAGACCCGCCGCGCGAGACGGATCCACCGCTAAAAAGAACCAAACAGTCAAAAAACAACAACGTGAGCTCGACAAGATTCAAAGCCACATCCGCCCTTTCCCCCGTCCCCTCCCGCCTTCCCAACACCAGCAAACAACGCCCACAGCCTCTACAAACTCAAACAAGACCCATCGAAACATACCGGCCGTGGAAGAGACGGAGCCGGACGTTCGCATCTTCAAACAGCGTGACCAAACCTTGCTGGGCTTTGAAGATGGCCCAGTTGGCAGCCACACGACCTGCACTCTTGGCAGAATCCGAGTAGCCAATCATAATCTCCTGGAACCCATTGACAATGCGACGATACGCACGATTGTCCAACAGACGCCGCATGACACCGACACAGTTGTCAAGGTCATTGACGGTTTCGAACAAGGGAACGACGCGACATGGCACGCGAACGTTGGCGGCCTTTTGAAGCAGGTAAACGGCAAGCACATCGGAGGGATCGCGGGTCATCGAGATGACATAGGCGTTCAGGACCTCTGGATGCTGCTCGGAAATCATCTGGAAGGTATCAATGACATCCACAATCATGTTGGCGTCTTCCGGAAACTGCTCACGAAGCCAAGCAAGAATGGCTGGATCGCGTGTGAAGGCGAACGGGATGAGGGGACGGGAAGACTCGAGTTCAGCAGTCAGGAATGCAACGCGCTCTGCCTCCGTCATTTTGCCGTACGAGACGGGCAGCCGCAAGTACCTGGTGATGGCATCGAGAGCCTTGGCATGCTGGGTCGATTCTTGGCGAATGTCCCAGTGGAACAAAGCCGAGCCAAAGACTCGCACACGCCGCAGGGTATCCAGCAGGCGTCCCTGCGCTACATTTGCCAGTCCGACGTCCACTAGCGATGAGTAGCACAATTCCAATGGCTCCAGAATATCATTCGAGCATGTAACGAGCGATGGTGATGCATCGGAACGACTGCTGCTGGATGCCGGCAAAGAGCCTGCTTGCGTCGCCGTCTCAGCGGGGTGTGGGCTGTAAGCGCCTCCGTGGGTGAGGATGGACGATTGTCCAAGGCTCTGCAGCTGTTGTCGAGCAAGATCACGCGTCAAACGCAGCTTTTCGCGCAGAACGCGCAAAACCTCGCGATACGGCTCGGCGACAGTCTGCTTGCCGATATGCCGCTGCAGCGCCTCGTTGCATGAGGTGACGGAAAGCTCATAGTAGAGGGCATCCACATCGTGGTAGAAGAGCTCTGCAGCCATCCATCGGCCGCGGAGAATGACATCTCGTGTCACGTCGGGCGTGACAAACGCATTGCCATCGCGATCGCTGCCAAGCCAAGAGCCGAATTTGAACAGCGAAAGGTGATGAGGAAGCGGCCGCCCGAGGAGTTGTTCCATGCGCAGCGAAAGCGAGCGCAAGTAGCGTGGCACTGCCTCCCACAAGACCTGCTCGGCCACATGCAATCCAGCAATGGCTTCATCGACGGGAGTGGGCTTTTCGCGTCGCACTTCGTCTGACGTCCACAAGAGTGCGACTTGCCTGCGCAGATCGTCCTCGGCAGCGGCGATTTCCTCGGGCAGTTCTGTGCGATCACGCTGCGCCAACGCCGCCGCAACCGACACGAAAATGCGCTGCGTTGTTCGACGATGGACTTGCGTTGGATGCGCAGTGAAGACGAGCTCCACGGTCGAGTCGCACAGGGTCTCAAAAACTGCGTTAGCGTCGACGACGACTGGTGCTGGCTGGTCGAATCCGGGTGCGCTCCCCTGTGTGAGCTCACGCAGCACACCTGCAGCAGTAGTGCTGTTCAGCATTCCCGGTTGTGCGCCCTCGAGTGCTTTCGCCGGAGCAGATGCGCCGAAACCCGTCGGAGTGCTGAGCGGATTGGGGGGCGGTGCATGAGCGGCGGCCTCTTGGATGCGCGCTGATCGCCGCCTGCGCTCTCGATGGTGCTGCTCTGCAGTGTTTGCAAGCGCCAGGAAGTGCGAGAACGCGCGCGCGACGCTGTGCATCTGAGTCGCGTCCAACCGGTGCACCGCGGCAACCAGCGCGTCAAACGACTCGCCCGTCCCGTTGCGGCGCCAGGCCTTGGACAGCGCGCGGAGCTCTTCCACACGGTCGAGGGTTGCCTGTCCGTCGCGCGCACGGATGGTGTCGCCCAGCGCCCGGCCAAGCAGCTTGATGTCTGCGCGCAGTGGAGCGCTCTTGTCCTGGAAGTTGTCATCATTCTGGGTATGATGGGCTTGGGGATGGGTCTGGGCTTGGGTCTGGGTCGCAGTACTACTGTGCGCAAACAGGCGCATTGAGCTCTTGTCAGATCGAGCAGCAGCAGCAATCGTGGTGAAGGTCAGGCCGCGTTTGCAGCTGACGCTTGTTGCGAGTCCAGCGAGGCGAAACATTGGTTGAAACAGTTTTGAGAGCTTGGATCAATGAACAGGCATCCAATAGCAAAAGAAAGGGGAGGAAAATGGAAGAGTAATAGAATGACGAGTGGTGCAAAACAATAAATGACAGGAATGATTGAAAGTGGATGAATCTGAGAAAATTGGAGAGAAAAACAGCTCTTTTTTACTGTATTTGGTAGCCAGTCTGTTTTTTTTTTGTTGTTTTCTTTCTTTATTTGTGAACATGATGTCTGATTCAGACAGTCCGGCAATCCTGTCCTATCACAACACGCTGCTGCTGAGGAGCGACCTGGATCTGCTGAGCGCTGGAGAGTGGCTCAACGACCGTCTCATTGGCTTTGCATTCGAGTAAGCCAAAAGGGTTGCGGAAATTCGAGCACCGGTAGTTTCGCTTTTTTCAACGCGAATACGATGCTCAAACGAAAACATATCAGCATCGAAATACATGTATGTTGCGGATGATATTCTAATGCAATCCATGCTGGACTTGCCGGCCTTGCGTTTCTTGTGTGGCTGGAACTCAGATACCTCGAATTTCAAGTCCTCCCAAGCGCAAGCTCAGCCTGCAGCGGTCAAGCGTCACCGGACCTCGCATCGAGAATTCTGCTTGTTGGCCCAGACGTTGCCTTCTTGTTGGCAAACATGGATCCCGACCAGGCGGCGGGAATACTGGCGTCGCTGGACGCTCCATCGCGGGAGCTCGTTCTGCTGCCAGTGAATAACAATCGCAACGTCGAAGCTGCCGGAGGATCACATTGGTACGATCAACAACACCAAGGAGCGCTAGGAGAATGCGTTTGTGCTTGTTGAATTGGATTGCCAACCAACGGCTGACCACAATGAATTGTTGTACTGCAGGAGTTTGCTTGTGGTGGATTGCTCGAGCCAACGCTTGTTCCACATCGACTCTGCCGAAGGATCGAACATGTCATCGGCAAAATCACTTGCGCGGATACTGAGATCTGTTCTTGGAATCTGTAAGTCGTTTGAGAGGCTTCAAGATGTTGCATGTATTGGCTATGTGCTTTTGCTCTTCAATGCTGACCGTCTCGCCCATCCTGCCCCGTTGGTAAAGCTGCGAAAGTACCTGTTCGCGCAATGCCGTGTCCTCAGCAGCATAATTGTACGCCTTTCGACCGCTGCGTCTTTGTCTTGTTGAATGCTGCGTCCAAGTTTTGCTAACCCGACTCGTTCTGCTGATGATTCCCGCTATGCACACTCAGCTTACGACTGTGGCATGCACACAATACGTGCGGCCGAGTGTATCTGCCAACAAGCCTGTTTGCTCGACGCAGGAACACCTCTGAGCGACATTTTTGACAGTCCCACTTTCAATACTGCGCTCGCAGAGATGTGCGGCCCCAAAGCAGTGAGCGCTGCCCGCCTTTCAACAAAATCTCTCATTCAGAGCTTGTCGCAACAGTATCCACCAAGTCAAGGCAACTAAACTGAAGTCAACCAAGAGATTTGTAGCAAAAATACACTTGGACTTTTTTTTTTGTTGATTTACAAATATCAATATCGCACCCAAAAACGCGCTGGCAACTATGCGCTCAGGTTGATAAGCGAGTTACTTGCTGCAGCAAGCTCGCTGATAGAGACCCGACCGTGTTGACGAATGAACTTGGCCACTGCGCCGAGTTCGTCGCGAGAAATGTAAATGTACTTGCCACGATCGTCCAGTACGCCCGTGAGAGCGCCCATTTGCTCAACCGCCTTGAGTCGATTGATGGCATCCTGAGAATGATCCAATTTGGAAATTTAACAGTGAGGGGCGCGACACACGCACGAAGCAGGTTTCAGCACCACTTACCGGTGTTTTGAGCTGGAAGTGCGCAGCCAAATCTTCCAGATACACGACCTTTTTGCTCTACAACAGTACAACACAAAAAAAACGTGACCGAGTTATGAGCAAATGCAACCCGTAGAATGCCACCCAACCCCCTCAATCAACCCACCTTGATATACTCGACAAACTTTTCCAGCAGGTTTTCCTCGTTGCCAGCGTTTTCAACAGCATCTGTGCCTTCTTCTTCGACGGCGAACTCGGCCTTCATGCGTTGATATTCTTCCTCTTCCTTGCGAGCGATTTCGGCAAGGCGAGCTTGTTCGATTTGTGCCTAGGCATCACCAGAGCAAAACACACAGCAAACAGAGTTTCAGCGCTCATCGGTGAGAGTTCTCGTTGGTTTGGGCACAAGGCAAAACCAACAATCTTCAGAGCCCAAACAAAACAAAAGACAGCCTCGTACTTCAGCTTCATCCTTGATGCGTTGCTCCTCATCCAAGCGCTTTTGGTCCTCGGCAATAGCGGCATCACGACGCTTCTTGTCTTCTCGCTGGGCCTCCATAAACTGAATTTGCAAAACACGGCATGGATTGTCAGCGCGAGGCACAACGTTCAAGCTCAAAAAGGGGTTTAGATAGGTTACTCACAGCGTTCTGCTGTCGTCGCTCCTCCTTGGCCTGCAACTTTGCGAGCTTCTTCTTGCCAATGTTCGATGGGAATGCTGTCGTCCGGACAACGCAACAACAGGCCAGACGATCGTTCCCAATGCAAAGTCAGCCAAATTCACCGATATTCCCCCCCCCCCTGGTTCGTTTGTGCTTGCCTTGACCAGCCGCATCTTCATTGTCTGATGCGTCATCGCCATCATCGTCGCTGCTGCTTGAGCTGGCTGTGCTTGAGCTTGGTTGGCTTGGTTGGCTTGGTTGGCTTGCTGCGCTGCACGAATGCGACCGCGCACGTCGCCGCCATCGCGCTGAGCCCGTCGGCCGCCAACGACGACTCCTGGTCCTGTGCCAAGAATCCAATCCAGACAGGCAGACAGACAGTCAGTCAGTCGGTAAGTCAGTCAGTCTCGCTTTTGGTCTCCTTCGCTCGTCCTCGGACCTTGCGCTTGGCCTGGCTGAGCCTGCTGAGCTTGCTGAGCTTCCGGCTGTTGTTGTTGTTGCTGTTGCTGTGGTGCGTCTTGCTTCGCTGCCTGTTGGCGCTGCTTGACAATGTAGAGCAGCACTGCGACTGCGATCGCCAATGCAGTGTAAACGTAGATCAGCATTGCAGCAAAAGACCGAACTGAAGATGAGAACTGAACTACTTGTACTATGATAGAAGAATAGGAAAGATAGAAGATAGTAGCAATTCAATGTAAAGGGGGGGGGGGAAACAAAAAGGGGGAAACAGCTCGGTTGACTGTGTCTCGATTTCCATTGCATTGCATCGGAGCTTGAGTGCGTGTCAAGGTGGACGAGATCGGTACTCTTCTTTCGTTTGTATGAATACTATGAATAATGCCAAACTCACTCTTCTTATCACTCGCAATTCTGAGATTCTCGTTCCTTTCTGAGAACTTTGGCTCGTTTTCCAGTCGTTCCAAACAAACAAAATGTCGTCGTCGGCTCAGGTGCAGGCGACCGAGACGCCTGGGCGGCTGTTTCTGAGCGCGTATGCCCAGCATGTGATTCTCGAGTCGCTCGAGGACGAGAGCCGCACGGAGCGGTACCAGAGCAAGCTGAGCGAGCTCATTGCGACGCTCAAGCGACTCGTCTCGCTGCTCGACCGCATGGCACTCTTCAGCGACAACGAGGACCTCGAGGACATCCACACGGTCGACTTGCGCCTGCTGGTCGTGCGGCCGATGCTGGCCGACGCGCTCCTGCGAACCAACCCCAATAATAATGCCACTACTACTGCGCCTGTGCCTGCAGCGACAGCTGGCTCGGGCTCGTCGCCGCAGCAGGCACGGCTGAGCATCATTGACGCTGCGTCACAGCACTTTGTGACATTCCTAGAGACGTGCGAGCTGCTGGGACTGCTCAAGGACTCGGACATTGCAGTGCTTGCGTCGCGCGGCGCAGACGTCCCTGGAGACGCTCAAGCCAAGCGTGCCGCCAAGATTGCAACGTACAAGCGTGAGAAGGAAGCCAAGACAAAGTTTGCAGAGCTGTTGCTGAGGACGGCAGGAACGTCGTCGCTCTCCAAGGCAGCCGCCGGCAAGTTGCCCGACACGACCGACGCCGACGCTGATGCTGCTGCCGCTGCTCCTGGCGCATCGGGGCTGGACGAAGACACAGAGCGCGACATGACGCTGGGGCTGGTCGAGCTGTGGATTTTGAAGGCATGCGAGCAGCTCGCGTTTGCACGGCAGGAGACTCAGCTGATCCAGTTTGCAATCAACTCGAAAGCACAAGCCGGAGATCAAGACTCGCGAGTCAGGCAAAACGCCGGAGGATCCTCTTCGGATGCAGCAGCATCTGCATCGGCGGCCGTAAGAGTAAGTTGGTGCTTGCGCGAGTTTGTGATTGGGTGGTTATTTCGTTGGTTTGGCACCCTTGTTCATCATCATTTTCGTTTCTTCAGAAACCCCTCAAACCGTTCACAATCACGCGCGAAATGATCCGAAGAAACCTTCTCGGGCATGGCTACTCCAATCTACCAACAATGTCCGTGGAGCAGTTTATGGAGCTTGAAATTGCGCGAGGCAACTTCCTGACAGGTGGCGGGTAAGCTGTTGAACCATTGAATGTCCCCCCACAGTTTTGAGCATCAGTTGACATTGCGCTTTGGTCTTTGGTGTGCCTTTTTCCAACTCCAGCAATGAGGAGGAGTCCAAGCAAAACCAAATCGATCAAAAGATCCTCGAAGAGGAGAGCAACGAAGAAAGCGACAAGGCGACATACAAGGCTCGCGATTGGGACGAGTTTACTGACGGTATGTGTCACGTCTTGCAACAATCTTTCATGATCATGATCGCTGCTGCAACAAGCCAACTGACTACGACGACAAACTCTTTTCCTGTTTGACAGCGTTACAACAAGTCTTAAGTGGGTGGCGACTGTGCACTTCACTTGGATTTAGAATACTCCGAGTCATGCTGGAGTGTTCTCGGATGTACAATAGTCGGGTTCAAACTTTTTGGTGGGACGGTTGTGTATTCTCAGCATTTCCCTCCTTAAATACAATCAATTCAACATTTTAGAAACTCATTCAGTTATTCGAGGGGTGGAAATAGTCAAGGTCGGACACACGCGCTTTGGCTGGAAGGCTCATATAAAGCATGGTTTGCGCACGAACCAGCGCTTCTTGGACCTGCAAGTCATCACACACGTGAGCTTCGAGCAGCGCCGAATCGACATGGTACCATTTGTGCACTCACCGTTGTGCAGGATGAGTTGAACGGATCATCCCGAATGCGAGTTCCGAGCTGCTCCAAACTACGTTGAACAAGTCGAACATCCTCCTGAGATGAAGCACACACACGAATGATGTTTTTGTACGCGTGAGTTTCAGCAGAAACCAGTTAGCATTGCGAAATTGCGACATACCACATCGAAGGGATTAACAACTGGGCCTCCAGCACAAAAGGTGACCATCAAAACCATGCAATTGAGCCGTAGAAAGTCGGTGTGCTGCGAAAGCTGAATACTATCCAAGAGTGAAGCCACATAGACGTTGCGACGTTGAACGCCACATTCGTCAAACTAGCCGCCAGAATGATGATAAAGCAGACGCAAAGCACAGCAAGGAAATGAGTGCCAAACTTGCACCGAGCATGAAACAGAACGCAAAAGGTTTTTGGCGCGCTTACGATTGGGTGGTGGGTTGGCGGCACATCTTGCGAGGCATCGCGCACAAGCGTGACAGCCTGCAAGTCTAGATAAATGGAGTGACAAAAGCGCGTCGCAACCATCCGACGAAGTTGTAGGCCTCGAGGCGTGAGCGGGAAGGCGCGGACTGCGCGAACTTGGCTGAACGAATGTGGAAGGAGCGCCTCCAGCCCCTGCACAATCGTTTGCTGTGGTGTTGCCTGCTCCCAATCCTCACTTGGAATGCGAGCAAGCATCGAGCCGACGAGCTCAGAGCAATCGAGCACGGCTTGATGGCACCGTGGATCAAGCGAGCATTTAATGGCGATGGGGATGAACGCCAAATAGTCAAACGGTTGTGGCGAACTGCAATCAAAACCCAAACAAACCAGGCAATAGGTGCAAACCAGCCACGAATGAGAAACAAGTCACTTTCACCAGACGCGCTTGCCAACCTTCGCTCGGAGAATGACCGTACCGGTTCATCCGCACGACAGCAGTCATCAGTTGAAAGAAGCGAGATAGTGCGACGGGCAAGGCGCTCACTGATGCACTCTGTTGGCTAAAGCTTTGCTGCGAACACGCTGGGTGCTTGCCTGGTCGGCTCTCCCAATCGAACTCGGGGACCACGAATTGATACAGGCGTGCGTTCGTTTGTGCTGGCTCAAATAGAGAATGTCGGTCGATACCAAGGCTGGCCAACGCCGTCAACACAAATAGCCGATCTGGGACCCAGTTCTACGCCAATCAAAGCGAGTGGAAAGGGCATTGAGGAACGAGACCAAAAGACCAAACAAAACCAACAGTTCAAAATGTCTCTTGTTCTTACCACTCGAGGCCGTTTGAACAGATCATGAAGAATTTGAAAGCACGGGGTCGAAAGGCAGCCAGTGGGATCCTGCAGGACTGGTGCCGATTTTCAGCGTGAGCAAAAAACCCCAAAACAATCAAAAAACAAAACAACAAGAACAGCAACACAAAACCAACGGAGAGAGCCACCACTAGCACAACGCTGCCCCCCCCCCAAAAAAAAAAAATACTCGGACGCTAAAATGACAAACTTACCCGTTACAAACAACCAGCAGAGCAGACCCGGTGACGGCTCGCGCGTCAAGAGATGGGATTGAACCCATCCGCTACGGATGGTTTCAATGAGCAAGGAGGAATCGTCGAGCTGGATAGCTTCCACGATGAGCTGATCGAGCGCACCGCCGTCGCTCTTGCCTGTGAACGGAATCAACGCGTCCAAGTAGACTGGGTGGAAGATGTTCTCAATCATGTACTTTGTGGAGTTTCGGCCAGAAGTGGTTTGCGCGTTCATCTCGATATGCTGAGCCAAGTTGCTCTTGGCTGTTTCAGCGATGTCGCTGTCTTGCTGGTCCTGCGTCGCAGAGGAAGCGCCAGCCTGCATAAACATGCTTGGGTTTAACGATCGGACGGTTTCGAGTGCCCGCGCGGTGCTGTCCACGGACATGGACTCTGCACTGTTCTGTCCGGTGCAATCTGTGTGGGGTTGGCTTGATCCCTCAATCGAGCTGTTCGGGTCTTGCAGGACGTCAAACTCGAGCGGGTCTCCAAGCATGGCCGGAGGCGCCTCTTGCTTGGTGCTCGCCCGTTCCAGCTCCTTCTGAGACTCTTGCTTGTGAGCAGCAATCCTTTGCTCAACTTTGACGATGCTTGCATGGATGTTGTCTTGAGCTTCCTTCTTGCGCCGGGCTCGGATCAACTCGTCCAAGTGGCTCAGTGTTCGGCTTTTGCTGGCCGAGGTCAACCCGGACGAGGCCCTTGCGATCGAGCTCGACGTTCTTGTGGTAGCAGCGCGGATAGGTCTTCTGTTTTGAAGCGGTTGGCTTGCTTGATCGCCGCCGGTTGAGGAAGCAGATGGTATTGCTGGGACGAGCGTCGTGCTTGTGTCGTGATCTGCCGAAACGTCCATCGGCGCCGCATGGCTCGCGATAGTTGTTGAGTCATCAGCATCAGCATCAGCTGCGGTCGTCGTCGTCGTTGTCGTCGTCGTCGTCGCTGGATCAGCACCAGCAGCAGTTGTGGTACTCGAATTGGCGCCAAATCCATCCGTTTCCCGCCAACTCTTCTCGGGCGCCTCGCTCTCTGCCGCCGCAGCAGCATCCTGTTCCGCGTCCGCGGGATGATGCCAGTCCATTTGATTGTCGTCGTCGTCATCGTCATTGTCGCCACCATGGGACGAAGCATCGTCTTGCTCCATCTGCGCTTCTCCATCCTCGTCGACCTCATCGTCTTCGTCTTCGTCTTCGTCGTCGCCTTTGTCAACCGGTCGCTGCTGGATTGCATGTTCGAAGGTCGGCAGGTCGTCGTCGTCATCATCGTCGTCGTCGTTGTTGAATTCGTGTGACATTCTGAGCAACTTTTTTACAGCACAAATCCAAATCCGAAATCTGTTCTGAGCGCTCAAGAGCAAAACGGGACTGCCCTTCTCTTCGGTTTCTGAGCTAGATCTACTACTTAATCCCTGAACGGATGACAATTTCGAATGCTGTTGAGCTTGATCAAATTTCAGAAAAGAGTCTCTGCTTTATTGTGGATTTTGAACGAATTTCTTGGTTTCAAATCTCAGAAATCTCGTCTTGATCTGTCCCTTCCCCCCCCCCCACCCAACCACCAACCCCATCCTTCGCTCATTCTTGATCGTTGTCGTCACTCTTCCTTCCACTTTCATCCTGATTACTTCCTGCTGATCCATGCTGCGTCAGATCGCGTCGCGACTTGCGCTCGTTGCGCTCATCGCAGCAATTGGCGCTATGACCGTGAGCGCCCTTCCCGCATTCGACGACGCCCGCCTCACCCATGCCGCCGATGGACGTCGCTCGACTCCTGCTGGCTCATCCGTGACAACGCGCGTGGCTGCGCAGCCGGTCTCGTTCTCGGGCTTTGTGGACGACAGCAACCCGCTCGCGGTTCGCTTTGACTGGAGCGGCATTGAGATCCGCACCCAGGTCACCGGCGTCACGTCGCTCAGCGTGCTCCTCGCAGACTCTGGCAACCAGTACAATGTGCTTGTCAACAACCTCAACGTGTCGCGCATCAACACCCAGGCGACCGCCTCCCCTGTCGCGTACCTCGCCGTCAACCAGCTCAATCCCGCCCAGACGTACGCCATCCGCATCCAGAAGCGCACCGAGGCGTCCGACGGCATTGCCACGTTCACTGGCTTTGTGCTGCAGAACGACCTCGACGACTCCGAGCCCCAGCTGCTTCCCTACAAGGCCGTCAACACCCGCAAATTGGTCTTCTATGGCGATTCCATTACGTGCGGATACGGCATTGACGGGAACACGCCTTGCCCGTGGTCGTACGACACCCAGGACGTTTACGCGTGCGTGCATCTCGATTTTACGTTTTGGAGTTGGATTATTGTTTTGATGGGCGCTGTTGGTGGACTCTCGTTTGAGGATTTTGCGTTTGCAACGATCGTAACCCAAATCGTATCCTCGACACAGGACGTATGAGGGAGTCATCTCGCGAGAATTCAATGCCGATGTGTACATTCAAGCATGGAGTGGCCGAGGCGTCATTCGGTAGGTGTCAAGGAGTGTTTGTTTTGTCTGGCTTTGTTTTTGAGATTCGGAGCTCAACCTCACATTTGCGATTTCCCCCCTCCCCTTCCGCTCCTCCGTCTTCCTTTGAAAGTAACTATGGCGAGGAAGGTTTCTACTCTGCTAACGGCACGGTGCCGTCCTACTTGTTGCAGTCGGTGGCCAACGACCCGACGTCGACTTGGAACTTTACTCGCTTCACTCCGGACGCCGTGGTGATCAACCTTGGCACGAACGACGTCAGCGATCCAGTTTACCGGCCCCCGGATGGCTCATTCCTTGCAGGTACGCTCAAGTAGCGCGTGGGGAGCGAGCTCGTTTGGCAGAAGGGAGTGCCGTACACCTCACTTGTTGTCCCTTGGTTTTCTTGTCATCGTGTTCGGCAGCGTACACGAATTACATTGCCAAGATTCGCGACGTCTTCAACGCGCCGAAACTTCCCGTGTTCCTTGTGTGCGGACCCATGGCTTCGGGCACCATCTGCATCGACGTTCTCACTCTCGTCGAGACTGGAGACAACCTGTACTACATTGACATGGAGAACATCATGAGCCCGGCCGACTACGGCTGCAACGGCCACCCCAACATCAGTGGTCATGGAAAGATGGCTCTGGTTGCCATTGCCAAGATGTCTGTGGTGATGAATTGGTAACGGTTGGCGTTGTATGCAGGTTTGAGAGAGAGACAAGCGTTTGTTGGATCTTTTGCAGTTGTACATAGCACGATTGATGTACTGTCTTGTCAACATTTTCTTTTTGTCATGAGTTTCTGAAAGCGTAGAAACCAATCTGGACACGCTCAGCGTTTGACGCTACCTAGCGTTACAATATGGTCAACTAGGTTTCAAACATAAAATTCAATTGAAAAAGAGACCTTCAATTCATCGAATGAGCCGGTGCGGGCAACCAACGCACACCACTTTCGAAATAAACAAAGATCATTCGCTGAAATTTGGATTATTCTGATATCGGGGCGGAAGGCTTCCGAGAGCCATCCGTTCGACTGAGAGAGGGTGGGGGCGCAATCCCTTCGCTGGATGAACTTAGCAGCGAAAAGAAACCTGAGACTGAAACATCAGTGCTGCTTGAAGAGAGCGGCTGAGAGCTGTTGTACCCGCTAGGACTCGAGTCTGCTCGAGTGCGAACGCGACTCCGTGGCTGTGCGGAAATCGCACCAAGACTCAATGGCAAAGCTGCGGCGCCCGCTCGCGGTAAAATGGCTATTCCTTCGCGTTGGACAAACGCCGAATGCTTATTGAGGGCTACAAAGGTCCACAACGGTGCGTATGGAGTTAGAGCGAGCAAGTGACAAGAACACGCTTCGCCTCCTCTCGCAGACTCACCATTATTTCGCAATACCAACAGCCGCTTGAGCTTGCGAATGGAATCGACCAGTTTCTGCTTGCTGCGAATGGCAATCTCAAGGCTCTCCGGTGGCGAGTACATGCTTTCGTAGGTAATAGTGAGTCGACGCAGGAGCTCGGTCTCGTTCAGGGCGACGCTGGCCCAGAGCTCCGAGTTGGATTCGGCCAGGGCGCGCCATGTCGAGCAGACCCGCATGCACCGCGCCACGTCCCCGGCCGACAGGAATGATAGTATATACAAGAAAAGATTAGAGGAAAACCGCGGACAGCGCGGGAAAATCGCCCCCGAAGCGATCGCGAGACGCCGAGCACTCGGCTGACTCTCAGCCTTGGCAATTTGCTCGCGAAGTCCAATGTTCATTCGCTTGGAGAAGCTGCGAAGTTTTTGATTGGACGCGTTGATGGCCTGTTTCCGACGAATACACACAAAAAGAATCCACCAGCAATAACCAAGGTGAGGCCAGAGAACAGAGCACGGCCAGCGACGAGAGTGGAGAGCTCACCCGTTCTAGCTCCTCTGGCGGGGAAAAGAGCTGGTCATACTGCGATTTGAGTGCATTCAAGTGACAAGTCTCGCGCTCATGGAATGCTCGCCATAATGATTGATCGCGAGCAAATCTGCGAGAACAAACAGACAAAAAAAATTAAATACAACATTCGAAAGCAAAAAGCGAACGACCAGCAGCACAGCAAGCCTCCTACTTTCGCCATGTTCGACAGACGAGTTGACATTTGCTAAGTTGGTCTGGGGGTAGGTAGGAGAGAATCTTGAGCACGAGCGACGTGCGAATGTCCGGAAAGTCCGGAAAGAAGAAACGCTGGCGGACGCTCGTTGGCACAATGATCGTGAGCCGTTGCCTTGCGCGCAGCTTTTGTTCGTAGGCCTTGATGCTTTTGATCATTTTCTGGCCACGCGTGATGTCCTGGGCACGGAAACAAGCAAGAACAAGAACAAATCCCTCGCAATTAGTGTTCCAACTCGACTTTGGTCGGGAGCAACGGCAAATGGAGCGTACTCGTTCAAGCGCATCTGTCGGCGAGTACATTGTGTCGTATTCCTGCATCATGGCTGTCAAGCAAAGGGGAATTGGGCATGAAATCACAAATTAGTCACAAATCGAAAGCGCTGAGTGCTTCGTACAAACCGCCCCGTGAATCATCCACCCACTTCCCCTCTCGCATTGGTGGACTGCAAGAGCCAAACTCCACCTCTCCCCCTTCACGTCTCTTATTCCGAGTGACAGGAGGAAGTCGTCGGGGGTCGTGTTACCTGCGGTTTCGGCAATGTATCGCTGGCCGAGTCTGTTCCACAGCCGCGGATCGAGCATTAGCCGCTTCCACACGTAACTACGACGATTGGCACATCCAAAGCCACAAGTGATATCGCAAGCACGTCGGTGAGCCAACTCCAAGCAAAAGCAAACAGATCATACGAAGAGTGGATTTCGAAAAATGCAATCATCCACTTTACTTGACGCGGCAGAGTGTGCAGAGGTCGCGCGGCTCGAGCTGGACGAATATGTGAAAGACAATCTCCTCAGAGACCATGGGGTAGTCTGGGAATGCCGGCGTGTCAAAGTAGTCTCCCTCTGCAATTGCAACAGAGATTGAGTGAGTGAGTGAGTGAGTTATTGAGTTTAGCGAACACCCCAGCCCCCTCCATTGTCGTCTCGAAGCGAGGTCCTCAAGCACCCAGCGACTTTAACAATGAAGCATTGACACTGTGCTTGTGCTACATCGGGCCCCCCACAACGCAGAGCGTCGGCAGAGTCAAAAGCGGAACCACAAAATTGTATTGATTTTCCATTGATTTTCCATTGATTTTTCATTCACTGACCGTCCTCCCACATTTTGTGAGATGCGCAGCAGCTTGGTTCGTTTTGTGGAGTGTACTTGAACTAGAATAAACTCTTTGCTGTTTGGTTGATCCAACACAGTACTTTCAATGAGAAGTTTGCCCACTCTTCCATTCTGTTTGGCTGGATTTTTGATTTCTGAATTTTGACGCCAGATTTTTTGTTTCGAAATCTGAGACAAATGCTGACAACAACAACACGATTGCGATTCGCATCATCGACAACGGTGGTCCGCTTGAGCGAGACGATCGCAACAGCAACAATGGCAGCGACACGACGAGTGAGTGCTCTCGCTTCCTCACCATCATCGTCGCCACCCATCACCACTACCATCACCACAACGATGATGATGCTCATGGGCCCATCATCTGCGATGACGCCATCGCTATGGCGTGGCGCTCACGTTGTCAAATCGGCTGCCGATTTCCGCCAATTCACTCCGATTTCCCATCCAGCAGCAGCAGCAGCAACCAAGCGTTCGTACCACCACCACCACCACCAGCCTCAGTCTCAGCACTCGCTTCATCACCCATCCCCAGGTGGTCGTCCCACTTCAACTCCTCCAACGACAACAGGGTCCAATTTCCACTCGTCGTCGGCTCAGTCCACTTCATCCACCTCCAAGTCAAACTCTGCGTCAACCACCCATCCAAGAATGACGGCGCCTGCTCCACCCAACCCATGGGCCTCCAACAACATCAAGGTGCTCGAGCTCGCCGACAAGAAGGAGCTCGTCCTCGCCGATATGTGGAAGGACCAGCGCGTCCTGCTCATTCTGTTGCGCCGCTTTGGCTGCAGTCTCTGCCACGAGCAGGCCAGCCACGTTCTGGAAATCAAGCCACAGCTCGATGCTGCAGGCGTCAAGATTGTCCTCGTCGGCACGGGCAACCGCTACTTTGCCGAAAAGTTCATCGAGAACGTACCCGGCAACGGGCAACGGTTCCCGGCGGAGGTCTACATTGACCCCGAGCAGACGGCGTACAAGGCGCGCGGCTTGCAACGCGTCGGCCTGCTCCACTTTCTGAGCTGGACTGCCATCTCCGAATGGCGCAAGGCAAACAAGAATCACCCCAACGCCGATCTGCAAGGCGACGGCCTCCAAACCGGCGGCATCTACCTCGTCGGTCCCGGCGCCGATTCCGCCATCCACTTTGCCTTCAACGAGTACGATCATCCCGTCGGCACGCTTGTCGACAATGATCAGATTCTTGCGGCAGTGAAGGCAACCCAGCCGTAATTTTTTTGAAGACGAGCAGCTGCAATTTGCTCAGATTTTCCAGTGCTGTCTCTTTGAGTGTCTCTTGTTTCCATCCAATTCACGAAATGTCAATACCTCCTTACTGTCTTACTGAGCTGGTCTTTGCGGTTGATTGACTTGTCGAGCTCCAGCAAAGTATCAGAGCTCAATTCTTCTGTACAATTTGAATCCAATGCCATAATGCCCCTTTCCAAAACATGCTACACCTAGATGGTCCTCGTTGCTATTTCATTCTTTTTTTTTTTTTGTTGTTGTTATTATTATTTTTGTTTGCATGAAGCTCGCATTCAGTGCAGTGCTGGCGCTGCTGGTTCTTTGCTGCTCTGGCATTGCCCAGGCCGACCCAGCGATGCCCACGCTGCCCCTCCGCTACCGCGCCGTGGTCGAGACCAGCACCCGCCATCTCAATATGACAATCACCTACCGGGAGCAATACGACCACGTCGCACAGCTCGCCCGCATCGACAGCTACAACGGCGACCGCTTCCCAATGGCAACCGTCTTCATCTATGGCAATGTCAGTTCCAGCCAACAAAAAAAAAAAAAAAAAAAAAAAAAATCAGTGGCGGTTTTTGGTTTTTCTCATCCACGGCACAGAGAGGGGGCAGCGGCCGGTTCTCCGTGAAGCAAGCCTGTAGATACATCTGATTGCATATTGAAGCGGAGACAGCGAGACCAACCAGCGTTGGCGGACAAGAAAAAAAAATCGCCGAACTGGAACTGGTTTTCTACGTCCATCCATTCAAAAAAAAAGAAAGAAAGAAAGAAAGAAAAAAAAGCAAGGTTCGGCTCTTGTTCTGCATGGTATGGATTGTCATCCAGACCCACAAGAGAGGCTGCCTTCATTTCGGCGCATTTGGCAAAAGCAAATACACCCTTGAATACTGATTTCAAACCCGCCCTGAGGCGTTTGGGAGCGTCTTTGACGCCAGTGTTGCCTTCCCACTCACCGCTTTTTTGATACTGTCTCATCTCATCCGTGCAGAACGAAGCATCCACGCTGATCGCGGGGTCAACCTGCCTCAAGAACACCATCTCTGGTAACGCAAGTCCTGCTGGAAACCCGTTCGGTTTCACCTACTTTAGCTCAAACAACACGGTCGTACTGCCGCTTTTGTCCACCATGCTCCGATTCGGACCGCAGTACAACACCACCTACACTGGTGAGTCTCTAACTTGCCCATGAGCTCGTGTGTTGGTTACTCGCCATTCGCAAGGAGGCCAACCCAAAGATGCTTGAGCACGAACTGACACTTTGTGAAACTCAAACGTTTTTTTTTTTCAGGTCAAAGCTGGGTCCGCAACATCCCCGCCGATCAATGGACGACCTGGCACTCGACCAACTTGACGTCGGTCGTATACAATGTCTTCTTCACGACTGATACGTGGGCATATGCCAGCCAGGCAAACCCCGTGCTCATTCGCTTCCAGAAGGATGGCTGGGAAGTGGTGAACGGCGTCAACTCGTCCTTCTCCTTTGAGCAAGACTTTATCCAGTTCAGTAGTTACGCTCAAGACCTGGACTTTGTTCTCGAGGGCTGCAGCAGTACGTGGGCTTTGATTGTCTGGCCGAAAATGGTTGATTCCCTTTTTTGACACTCAACTCGTTTGTTTCTTCTCGTTTCCTCCCCGCCCCTTTGTCTCTTCTCTTTCTCTTTCATAGGCAACTACCGAACCAGCCACCCCGAGTGGGCTGGTGTCATTGTTGGTATTGCATTTGGCTGCTTGCTGGGTTTGATGCTCGCTCGCTGGTCACTACACTTTACATTGCTAGACAAGAAGCCCGCCGCCAAGCCAGCAAAAGTTTGATGGCGCTAGGAAAGCTGTTTTTTGTTGTGTTGTGTCCATGTGTCAAATAGACGAATTATTGCATTTTCAGGTGTTGCATTCACCACCACGCACACACACACACACACAAATTCATCTGAACTGACATGGTTTTTATTTGTTTCTTCGTTTGTACAAGAGCAAACACCACACGACATTCACCAGAGACAAATGGTACTGAGAGGCACTAAAAATAGCAGGCTTATTTATAATCAATGCTTGGAAACGATTCTCCTCGTTTCAACTTGATTTATGCATGGGTCTCCATCCTGGCCATACGCTTTTCCAGGCGCTCGATGGACGCGGCCATCTTGCCAAAGACTTCATGCATCTCCTGGAACTGCTTGCCGGACATTTTGAAAATGTCATCACGGAGCAACTGGAGGTTGACCTCGCGCTGTTCCTGAGTCTCCTTGACCTTGGTCCAGTCAGAGTACTTGTTCGTGTGGGTGAACTCAGCCTCAGGAGTGTTGTTTTCAGTAATCACTTGCGTGTGCTGGGCTTCCCGGCGCTTCAAGTCGGCCGCAACTGTGCGTGTGTCGAGTTACAAGTCACAAGTCAGCAACCAGAGCTTTTGAAAGTCAAACAAAATGGTTGTTCTTACGTTGCTCTTGGACATTCTTCCGGCCCAGGTTTTTCTGGACGGCCAGAATGTAGCGGGCTCGGACGAGCAAGAACTCATTGTCCGATACGTACTTGATGGTTGCGTACGTGTTGCTGAGCATGGCGATGAGCACTGCAATCCAAAAAGATGTTTGTGAGTGTGGTGGGAACTGATGGTACGTCCAACGAGGCGACGCTAACATACAGTTGAGCAGGGCAATGTTGGAAATGATAATAAAGACGACATAGCCGAGGTAGGCCACAGACTTGTCGGCGACGCGGAAGGGATTCAGGTTGAGCTCGCCAAACAGGCCAAGGAGACCGGTGAGCAGCGATTGTTGGAAGCTCTCGTAATCTGGGGTGCCCGCTGCTGCGATGGGCGCGGAAGAGTTGGGCGACAGAAGAACGAAAAACCCGATGGAAAAGCCCATCAGAAAAACGGTGAAGATTGCCATGAAAATGACCAAATCGACCATCATGTACTTGATCGTCTCGATAAGCGGACCAGTCACCTTGAACAGAGCGGCAATGCGCAAAAACTTGGTCCAGTACAGAACTGCCACCATGGCCAGGACGTTGTACTCGTACTGCACCGAGACTGGAGGGATGTTGCCAGATTCGTACGCGACAATATTGGCAATGCGCATGCCCATGTCAATCACTACCATAAAGTAGGTGGTCAGATCAAACACGTTGCCAAGATCGCGCAGATAGCGGGGCACGTAGACGGAGCGTGCATGCACAAACGCAGGGTCGATGGCTTTCGGGAAGAAGACGCGCAGCAGCCATCCGCCGGCACCCGCGGGTACGTGGACAATGTCTTTTCCAGAATTGATAAACTAGGCGATGGGGGTAGGGACGCACAGAGATGTGAGTGCAGGGTTGAACACATTCTGGCACTCGGACTGTGGCATTACCTCCATAATTTCGTCAAAGAGCTGCGAAAACACAAAAATGAGGAACAGAATCTCGATGACCGCGCGGAAGTACGCCTGGGAGCTGTCGTAGATGAAAAGAACTGTGCCAGGGAAGGCCACAACCGCCAAGCAAACTGCACAAGAGCAACAATCAGAAAAAAATATGTTGCTCAGTGCAATCATCGAAAAAACGTTTCGTGCGCTCGGTGCTTGTCACGTACTGTAGGTCAAAAGTCCCAGCGCGTACAGATACCCGAGCAACTGACGCAAGAAGAAGCGACGGGCAAACACTCTCCACTTCCAGTCGCACAGCTTCCGGATGAGACGGTGGCTAATGAGCTCGTGGTTGCGCTTTTTGACAATCAATTCCAACGGGGTCATGTCGCCGGTCGCACCATCCAGATCGTCGATGCCGTCAAAGTCGTGCTCCGAGTGCACCATCAGCATGTACTTGTCCAGCACCTTGGTTCGCGTGTCGAGCCACTTGACGCACTCCTCGGGGGTGTTTTTGACCTAGCCGAGTGCGAAAAAAAAAAGTGACAAGATTGTGAGAAGAACAAGAACCGGACTGGTTTTCCAGTTTCGGCTGCAGAATGCCAGCTTTTATTACCATATCCATCAGTGGAGTGTGGCTTGCGTTGTCTCTGTGGATTGGAGATACGCCCTTGCTGATGAAAAACTCAGTCAGCTCCGAGTTGCCATTGCGCGCAGAGTTGTGAAGCATGCTGTCGATTTTTTTTTGCAGCCAAGTGAGCGAGATGTTCCAACACGCTTTGAGCAGCACACAAGGACCCCCCTCCGGACTCGAACTTACTTGTGGCCTGATTCATTGACGGCGAGAGGATTGGCACCGTTTTCGGCCAAAAAGTGAACCATCGCGACTTGGCCAAACCCGACCGCACGGTACATTGGGGTGGCACCGAATCGATCGAGAACATCGACAGGCACACCGTGTGCGAGCATCGCCTTGGCCAGCTCGATGTGGCCTTTCATGGCTGTGGCACAAAAACAAGAACGCACCGTGAGTTTGGGCGGAATGGTCCACAACAAAAAAGATCGTTCGATTGATCAATTTGCCACCTCTTCGTTTGTGTCACGCCAATTTGACAGATTTCAAATTCGACCAACCACCATCACGAGCGTTCAAAATACCATCACAAGCAGAAAAAAACCATCACAAGAAAAATCCCATAACAAAGAAGAAGAAGAAAAAAAAAAACCTTCACAAAAAAACCATCACAGACACAAGCGAAAAAAACGCAAATCGCTGCGAAAACATCCGACCTCAACACTGAGACAGCCCAGTACAGGCTCCCTGATTAACCTTACCAATGTAGTGGAAAGGTCCCCAGCCATCCGAGTCAAGGATGGATCCGGCAACCGACGGCTTGAGGTCGGCCAGCTGCTCCAAGAGAATCTTCAGGTTGCCAGCCTTGCAGTCGGCAAAGAGCGCGTTGTCCAACGGGCTGCCCGCAGCGGCCTCCTCCATGCCGACTGTCGACAGTCTCGGCGAGTGCTTCAGAGAGTGATACGCAACCAGCAACGAGGAGGAGGACGGAGAGATGCGAGTGAGCCATACGAAAATACAAACAAATAAAAAAAAATAAACAAAACAAGCATTTTTGAGGCGTTGTTTGGATACCGCAAGCGACGCTGTTCTCTGCCCCCCCCTAGCCGCCCTGTCTGGAGGGGCGCTCGTGTGGGTGTATTACAAGTCTCCATTCTGCATGACCACCCCACCCACTTCCACACTGCTGCCACGAAGAGGACGCGAGGGGCGGAAGTGTGAAAGAGTCAGGGTTGGTGGAGCGATTCGCATGGCAACACTCCCCCCAGCAACCCGCTGACTCCTTGACTGCTGCACACAAAGGCGAGCGGAAGTGGGGGCCGCTCTACCACGACAGTCAAGTACCAGCCCCCTTGTGCTCGAACAGCAACAATGGCAAAGTTGGAGGGAGGAGCAGAAGCAAACCAAGCGGACAAACTGACCACTTCAATCAGCTCGATCGAAGACATGAGAAAAAAAAAAAAAAGTGGAGTGAGTTTTTAGCGGCTGTCCTTCAAGAAACAAAAGCCAAAACATCGCGAACGAGAACCAAAAAGCACCACAAGTGATTTGAATATTTGAATCAGTCTTTTCAACGGGGGCGCGGGAGACACAGTGTTTGGTCTTGGAAGACATTCCGAGAACGAGTGCTCATCCTTCGTCGGCGATAACAGATGTGTATCAGACAAAAAGCAACAGTGACATGCAGCAAAAGCAGCAAGCACAGAATCTCAGCACAAACTTGAAGTTGGGCACTGAAAGAACAAAGAACAAAGAACGCACCAACTTTCAAAAAACAACAACAACAACTCGCAACAATTCTGTCGTCGATCGGTCGCTTATTTGGCAACCAAAAGATCGATGCGCTCGTTTAACAACTTGATCGTGTCCGACAGCTTGTCGAAAGCGGCGTGCACCTCTTCGAACTGCAGGTTGGACATCTTTTGCAGATCGTCACGGAGCAGCTGCAAGTTGACTTCGCGAGGCTCTTCCGTTTCCTTCAGCTTGATCCACTCAGAGTACTTGTCGGTGGTAGTGAGCTCGGCCTCGGGCGTGTTGTTCTCCTTGGTCACGCTGCGCGCCTGAGCCTTTCGCTTCTTCAAGTCGGCGGCGACTGTTGCCAAAAAATGAGTGTTGTGGAGAAACAACAGAAACACAACGGGTCAGCATACAACTCGTTCTGTAACGAACAGCCCAACAGCACTCTCAAGACACACAAAGCGCTTCTTACGGATCTTGCGCACGCGAGCCTTGCCGAGAGACTTTTGCACGGCCAAAATGTAACGGGCACGCACGAGCAAAAACTCCAAGTCCGACACGTACTTGACAGTGGCATACGTGTTGCTGAGCATGGCAATGAGCACTAACGAGCACGAGAAGCACGCAAAAAACAAACAAACAAAAACAAACAAACAAAAACAAACAACACCAAACAAACATAGTCAGCAAAACGACAAGCATCAAGCATCTTGGAACGACACGCCTCGAATTTGTCACTCACAATTCAGCAAGGCAATGTTGGAAATGATAATGTAGACAACGTAGCCAATGTAGGCCACGGACTTGTCTGCCAGGCGGAAGGGATCCGTGTTCAGCTGGCCAACAAGACCCAAAAACACTGTCAGCAACGACTGCTGGAAGCTCTCATAGTCGGGTGTGCCAGCCGCGGCAATCGGAGGAGAAACCTCGGGCGACAGGAGCAGGAAGAACGAGATGGAAAAGCCCATCAGGAAGACGGTGAAGATGGCCATAAAGATGATCAAATCGATCAGCATGCGCTTGATGGTCTCAATCAAGGGACCAGTGGATTTGAACAGGGCGGCAATGCGCAAAAACTTGGTCCAGAACAGAACAGAAATGATGGCCAGAACATTGTACTCGTACAGCGCACCGACCTTCGGGGGATCGCCGTTCTTGTACGCCACAATGTTGGCGATGCGGAAGCCCAGATCAACAATGACCATCAAGTACGTGCTGAGATCGAAAACGTTGCCAAGATCGCGGAAGTAGCGCGGAATGGAAACAGCAGCGGCATTCACAAGGGCTGGGTCGACCGCCTTTGGGAAGATGATTCGCAGAATCCAGCCTGCGGGACCGCTGGGCACACGCACAATGTCTCGACCGGCGTCAATGAACTGGATCACAAGGTGAAATTCACAACGTTACACAGTGCGACAGTGGCAGCGTTTGAAGTGAGCTCATTCATGCAAGAAGGTCACTCAAAGTTCCAGCTAGAAGTGCCAAAAGTATGGTCCTACCTCTTGCGTCTCGTTGTAAACCTGCAGAAACACGAACAGGACGAAAATGATTTCGAGAATACCACGAACGTAGGTTTGCGGGTCGTCATAAATGTAGAGGACGGTTCCTGGGTAGGCAATGATGGAGATGCAAACTGGAATGCGCAGATGTCGAAGAACAAGGATGAGAGAATGTTCGTGCAACCCCGCCCCCCGCCACATGGCCAAGCACATTTTGCTCGCACGTACTGTAGGTCAAGCAGGCCAAGGCAAACAGGTAGGAGAAGAACTGGCGCAAAAAGTAGCTGCGCGCGAACGTTTCCCACTTCCACTGGCACAGCTTGCGGATGAGAGGATGGCCAATGAGATCGTGGTTGGACTTTTTCACGATAATCTCAAGCGGGGTAATCTCCTTGACATCATCGTCCTGGTCGTCAATGCCATCAAAATCGTACTCGGAATGCACTGCGAGCAAGTACTTGTCGAGCACTTTGACGCGCGAGTCGAAAAACTCTCCGCAGACATTTGGCATGGTCTTGATCTACAAGAAACAAAACACAAGCGTTGTGAAAGTGAGATCGAGTTCAACAACTTCCGTGATGGGAGATTGTAAGTATAAGGCAGCTCGTTACCATGTCCATCAAGCCCAGATGATTGGCCTTGTCCTTGGCGGTCGGCGACACACCCTTGCTAATGAAGAATCGAGTCAACTCGACACCGCCAGCCCATCCCGAGTTGTGGATCATGCTGTTCCATGCCAAAAGCAACACGAATTGAGAGAATTCTTCCACACAAAGTTAAAATGGCATCCCGACCCCCTGTGGCTGCGCTTACTTGTCGCCGGCGTCATTGAGATGATGAACATTGCCACCATTGGCCACCAGGTAGTAGACCATTTCGGGATGACCGAAACCAACAGCACGGTACATTGGCGTCGTGCCATACTTGTCGCGAATGTCCACAGGAACGCCGTGCGCAACCATCGCCTTGGCCAATTCGAGGTGACCCTTCATTGCTGCGTCAAAGAGAGTGGTATGTGCGCACACACACACACGGACAAGTGAGACCGAGTAAGTCAAACAAAACCAAAATCAAGGAAATACAAACCCTCGATGCAAAAAAGTTGAAGATTCGCAGCACAACGAGATTTTTTTTTTTTTTTTTTGTTTTGCGTGGATGGGACTCTGTTTTTTCTTTTTACCAATAAAGTGGAACGGACCCCAGCCGTCGTCGTCCAGCATGGTCACGATCTGCGCGGGCTTGAACACGGCCAGGCATTCCTTCAGCAGCTTGAGGTCGCCGGACTTGCAGGCGGTGAAGAGCAGCTCGCGGGACGACGCGTTGGTTCCACCGCCGACATCGACGCCAGCGTCCGAGGCCCTCTGCTCGCGAATGCCAGTTCAGTCAGTTCAGTTCAGTCCATGTGTTTGAGTGCATGTCGAGCACAGTCCAATAGCGTGGCAGCAAATGGCAACGCGAGCGCAAGGAAGCAGCCATCGAAGGGCGCACACAAACAAGGGAAAAAGATAAAAAAAAAAAACCGAAAACCAAAAATAAACCAAAAAAAAAAAAAAAAAAGAAATTGATTTTTACACAAACATTTTTGCTGCTACTTTTTTTTTTTCTCCGCTGCTGGTTTGATGTTGATGCGGGTTGTTGTTCCGACTGCTATTTTGCTGAAGTGCATGAAGCATTTGGCTAGTTTTCATGAATTTGAGAATCTGACTCGCTCTCGTCCGATTTGCAGTGCCGATGTGAAAGGAGAAGATCTGCTTTCTTGTGTTGACAGCTTGCGAAAAAAATGAATCACAAAAAAAAAAAAAAAAAAAAAAAAAAAAAAAAAATCCAAAAAAAGGGGGAAAAGATGGGAGGGTTGCTCGACACACACACGGTGGACGATGCAGACGGCACTTTGCTCAAACCTCACAACAAAGAAAGAAGAGCAACAAGGCAAGCGACGGGGGATTGCGCGCATGAGACTGGAAGACGCCAAAGGGCATCGAAACGAGTGCTGGGAAACGGCAGAGAGAATCACCAAAAAAAAAAAAAAAAAAAAAAAGCAAAAAAAAAGCCAAATTCGTACAACGTTCAATAGCTCGATGTCCGACATCAGCAACGACAGAAAGAAAGGAAAAATACAAAGAAGGACTGGAATGTGCAACATTACTAAATCAAAAGGGAGGATGTGCACACCTTGGGAGAGTTCGTTTGATCGGGGTTGGAGGCCTGGGAAAATCACTGCAATGCGAAAAAAAAACAACAAAAAGTCATCTTCAAGGCCAAAGAACGGTGCGGTGCGGGGGAGTGGATCTGCAGCATACAGTGCAGCAGAAGCTCAAAAACAAGTTAGAGGCATGATTGTCAAGGCCGTCAAGGCAGGAGTTCGAGCAAAAAGCTGACTGAAACAAGAAGTCCGATGCAAAGCGTTTGCAGATTGAACGACGGATTGAACGCAAATACTTGTACATGTACTTTCAGAAAACAACCCATGCACGCCATGTCAAAGAAGGTCACATGCAACACACACACACACACACACACACACACACACACACACACACACACACACACACACACACACACACACACACACACACACACACACACACACACACACACACACACACACACACACACACACACACACACACACACACACACACACACACACACACCAGCAACTTAACGGAACAACCATCTAGTTGGAAGAACCCTGCAAATACGACTCCATCATGGCGGGACACAGCTTGCACTTGTCTTTACGCTCAAGCATCATATTAGCGCACGGAACGCATACACAAGTGTGAGAGCAAGGCATCAGCTTGGCTGTCGCTGGGGCGCTGAAACAAACCAAGCATTCCGGGCTCGCTTCCGATCCGTCGCAGGAGCCGAGCGGCGACTGCATGCTAGCGGCGCTCACGACAATCGTGCTTGCAAATGGAGATAGTTGTTCCTTGATGGAGCTATGCTGATGAGTCAGTCGTGAAACTGCTGGATCATTTTGCGGAACCTGCGGCTGGTTCGACGTCATTCGAGAGTTCATGAGACTCGAGTTCAGATGGGGTTGCATTTGCTCTTTGATGCTGCTGTAATGATGCTCCAACCTGGGATTTCGAGGTATGGCAGCACGAGCATGCGCGCGGCCCTGATTCTCGACAAATAGACCCATCTTTGTCAGAATCTGGCCAAAGGTTGGTCGGCGGACTCGATCGGGGTCGAGGCAAGTAATAGCAAGCTCAGCGACTGCAGTGGCAGCGAGTTTGTCCGGCTCAGTATCCCACATGATCGACACATCCAACTCGGAATCAAGCCGACCGTGCTGTTTTAGCGCATGTGTCACTGCTTCGGCAAGCTCAGTACCAGGCTTCCTCGCGGTCAGCAGCTCCAGCAAGATCATGCCGTACGAGTGAACGTCCGTTTTGATGGAAACTTTGCCTGTCTGCAGGTAATGTGGGCACAGGTACTCGCGAGTTCCTTGAATCGTCGTCGTCTTGATGTCGCCGTCTGGGGCCATCTGAGCTGGCGGAAAGCGCATCAGACCAAAGTCGGCGACCTTGGAAATGTAGTATGCGTCCAGAAGTACATTGTGCGTCTTGAGATCCAAATGGAATAGCGGCTGACATGGAATAGCATTCTGCACAAAGTACATGGCACTCGCAATCTCGGTTGCGATTCTCTGGCGTTGTGGCCAACTCAGAGAAGGCGAGCCATCCTTGCGGTCCAGACGATCGCGCACTGAACCGTTTGCCATTAGCTCGTACACCAAGCAGCAGTCGTTGCCATCGTGAGCATAGCACATGATGGTGACAATATTCGGGTGACGAAAGCGCGAGAGGGATTCGAGCTCAGCCTCGAATTGCTTGATGCCTTGCGTTGAATCGGCCGCCAAACGCTTGACAGCAACTTTTGCACCACTCCAAGTACCAGAGTAAACGTTGCCAAAGCCGCCGCCCCCGATGCGGTTCGCAAAGTTGCTAGTGGCTTGCGAAAGCGCTTCCATACCAACGCGAAGAATAGTGGTAGCGATTGCTGGAACTGGGATGGCGGAGGACGATGAATCAGGCTGTGCAATTGGCGCGACCGGAATTGGCCCAACTGCGGGACATGGAGAGACGCCAAATGCAGAGAGTACCTGTCGCTGCAGCGCAGTTGGCTCCGCGATGCTTGACAAGGTGCGCAGCAGAAGTGGCTGAATGAAGGCGAGCCACTGGCCACGATCCAGCGTTCGTTGCGAATGATCACAACTCAGTTCCTTGTTTGGAAGGACGGCGGCAAGCACTGTAGGCTCAAGTTCAAACAGGCAGGCGTCTTGGACATCGCGAGCACATTCCGTGCAGCGCAGGTAGGTTTGCCAAGTCATACCCGTGTACCAGTACGTGGTCAAATCTTCGACAACGCCAAAGAGCACATCGAGCAAATTGCCTGGAGAAGCACCGCGCACGACAATAACCAGATCAATCACATCCTCTTCTGTGCGACGATGGATCTGAACGAGCGCTCGATGATGGTTTCTGCTCACAAGCACGCAATCGCGCCATGCAGTCATGTTGAGCTCAAGGTGATTCAGCCGGGCAATGACTCGCGAGAAAAAGCCAGTGTACAGGAAGGCCGTTCGCATCACGAGGGTGGCCTCATGTGGCTCGTCTTTGCGAGGATTGGCGGACCATGCCCTGCGGTCAGGCTGTCCAACAGGCAGAAACGATGGTACAAGGTAGCGGGGACCTGATGTTCCTGCGTCAGCGTCAGCGAGCGGATACAGGAGTTCGTATCGTTGAAGTAGAACGAGGAGCTGATCACACACAGCCGGATCCAAGTTCGTCCAAACATGTGCAAGAAGAGCAGCACGAGGCAAAATACCCTTTTTCGCCCACTTGTGCCGCTGAGTTATCACACCAGTCAACACGGTTGTGGTAAACCACTCTGGATCAATAATGACGAGTTCATCATTCTCGGCGCGTGTCCGCTCCAAAGTTTTGGCCCAGGTAGCATCAGCGGCGTGAGTCATGCGATGAAAAACGACCCAGCCTTGATCACGCAACAGTTGCACGCACAAGTCAACTCCGAGACGAGAAAGCCGACAATTCTTCTCGCCAAGATCGACGACTTCACTCCATCGCAAGAGCGGCGGCTTCTTGTCAGCCTCCATCTGTTTTGCTAGATCGCGCAGCTGATCTCGAAACTGCAAGTAGCGGCTGTCGATCTCCGAGTTGTAGAATGGCATGGTTCGACCGACCTGGAGCACTGCCGCTTTGAGCTCCGGCATGGTCGGGGCGCCTGCAGCTGCACTCGCGTTAATGTAAACAGTCGCGTGAAGGTTGAAAGAGATGTCGGTTTCCTTGAAAAACTGAAGAAGTTCTTCAAGATTTTCTCGCTGCTCCTGTTGTCGTAGCGGCATGTAGAAACTGTCATCAATGTGGGTGCCGACAAGAATGACATCGGCGTGCGGAACTCGAGCGTGCAAGCTGCGTAGCCAGAAAGCCAGGCGCGAATTGCGCGATATGGTTTCGCAAACGTCGAACAGAATCAAGTACACGGTGCGCTCGCCAAGGAAGAACTGGTGCGAAGCGAGGTACACTTCTTGACCAGAGAAGTCCCAAAGATTCAGAACCATGCGCTCTTTGTCTCTTTCTTGAAGAGTGACGGAGGAAATGTTAATTCCGTCGGTGGAGGTGGGTTTGAACGACTTGTTGCGAGCGAACCACCTCGTCACTGGATTGCGCTCATGCTGCTCAATGCCGTGAACAAGCGATGACTTCCCGGCACCAGGATCACCAAGTAACACCACTCGAACTTCCAAGCTGCGAACCAAGTCGGGTCTGCGTTGGTTTAGCAGATTTCTGGATGTGACGAAATAATAAAACAGATACTCAGTCACTCTGTGGTGCAAGAAAAATCGACCAAAGATGAATCACTCACATTTTGCAGGATGGACGAGCTCTCCGAAGCAAAGCGGCTCCCTCATAGTCCGAGATCTGGTTTTCACTCAAACTGACAACACTCGTCGTAAACACATTCTACTACATAAAAAGGCATTCAAGATAAGCCAAGTACATACTTGAGCCTGTTCAAAGTTTTGTTTTCCGGAAGTGCCTCAGTAAGTGCTTGAGTTCCAATGTCGGAAACCTGATTGTCATTCAAGCTGGCCATCCCTCAATCTGTGAGGACTCTTACCGCCCTCTGTTGGATCACCGACGCCACTGCATCAGTCAATGTCTTACTAGAGCTCTACCAGCGTCTTGTTCACTTTGAGTGCCTCAGCAACTGCCTGCGTTCCGGCATCTCCAATCCTATTGCCGTTCAGACTGTCCGTCACTTCTTTCAGTGAGCACTCTGAATGCCCTTGGCTGAAATCACACATTCACATGCATCAGTCCAAGTAAGAAGCCTTACAGGACCTTCTGCAGCGTCTCGTTCACTTTGAGGGCCTCAGCCATCGCCTGCGCTCCGACGTCGCCAATGCCATTTTTGTACAGGCTGTCCATCCCCTGTGAGTACTCTGAAAATGGGCTCTGCTGAACCACCGCCCACTTCTATGCATCAGTCAAAGTGAGGTGACTTACTAAATCTCAACGAGCGTGTTGTTCACAATAAGTGCCTCAGCAATCTCTTGCGCGCCCGCGTCACTCAGGTTGTTCTCCCTGATACTGTCCCTCCATCAGTAAGCGCTCAAAATGCCTCACTCTCAGCATCAAAGTCAGCTGCCTTACTCGAGGAACCTCAGTATCGTGTTTTCTTTGAGTCCTGATTTCAGCACATGAATTGGGATTTTTTGGGTTCTGTGTCTGACCATCATTTTTCATGAACAAACACGTTGTCACACTTTCGTTCCAATAAACTCGGGTTGTCTTACTCGACCTCTCCACTGTCGTTCTTGAGTTTGTCATGCAACTGGCGGTGTCGTGGCGTCATCTGACCATCCTCCTCCAGCATGGTCGACTATCGTTCCAAGCAAACAAACAACAAACATGAGAACGACTAATTTGGCAAGTCTTGCGGCTGATCGCCACTGTGGTCTCATGTCAGTACTCAAACCATTCTCACTCGTATGTATCATTCCTTCAAAACGGAGCGAGAGGGGAGCGATGGAGGGAGGGAGGAAGGGAGTGAGCAGGAGGGGCCGGTGGTGGCAAAAGCGTCACACGTGGACGGGCTGCACGTCGCGCTCCAGATCCAGGACGCTCTGCACGCTCTTCTCGAGCGCTATTTGCGCTGCATTACGCACAAACCCCCCAAGTTCACCAGTCATGCACGATCATGGACGACGATGCAGCAGCGACCAACGATAGATGGAGAAGCTGTTGACTTTGCCCACACAGCTTAAGAAATCCTAGCAGATCTGCGGCGTTTTCCCTCTCACTCGATTCACAAGGACACTGTCAGACTCGCCCCTTGGCTGTCGAGTACAGCGTCCAAGCGACACCAAGCACCACCAAGCACACGGGTCTGAGGCAAAGCCACCAACGAGACCAGCAAGCCCAAGTGCAAACCAACCTAAAACCGCAACCAGAAAATGATTTAACGACTGAACCTCCGAGCGGAACTGAAGATCTCGGACAGCTCAACAATGTACTCGTAGCTCATAGTCTCACAAGTTTCCCTCAGATGAAAACGCGCAGCTACGTGTAGATATGGCTTTGAGAGCCATCGATTTCGAATCACGCGATGCACGCGATAAAAAAAAAAAAAAAAAAACCAAACCCCAAAACTCCCCCAACGGAACTCAATACTTTGATTGAACTTGCGAAAACAGAACGGGTATCATGCAATTTGCGCCACACAGGTGGGACCAAGAGGCAAACACGGGCCAACGACAAACGATACAAAACTTTGCAGAAAGAAAAAACTGGTCGGGCCACTGAGCAACAACACGTCGGTCGTTTGCTGTTTACTTGAACTTGCCAAACTTGTGCCTCTTGAACTTGCCAAACTTGTGCTTGAAGCCACGCTTGAACTTGAGCTTGAAGCCCTTGTGCTTGTGCTTGTGCTTGCCGTGGTAGCCGTAGCCGTGGCTGGTGTGCACAACCGTTGCGCCGGGGTAATGAGCAGGGGTCACGACAACGCCGTGGGCTGAATGAAGCAACACGGAGTGGGCAACAAACCAAAAGGAAAAAAAGAAAAAAACCAAAGCAGAACCCAGTGAGCACAACTTTCATAAAAGGCACACCAACACAACACCAGCAAACAAAACGAGCACAAGACTCACGAGGAACGCCATAAGCGCCAGGAGGGGCGCCGTGAGGGACGACGTACGCTCCAGGGGGTGCGCCGTAAGCGCCAGGCGGAGGGGCGCCGTACGCACCAGGCGGCGGAGCGCCATAGGCTCCCGGAGGAGGAGCGCCGTACGCGCCAGGGGGATGGGCGCCAGGCGGAGGCGCGCCATAGCCTGTGCAACAAACAGTCAAGGCAAAGGCATTCGCTTGAGTTGGAACGAACTCATTGCTTGGCAAGTCACTCATCAGAACAGGGACAGAGAGGATGCGCGCTGTGTTTACCGGGGTAGCCGGGGGCAGGGTAGCCAGCAGGGTAGCCAGCGGGCGGCGGGCCACCAGGGTAACCCGCTGGAGGAGGGCCACCGGGATAACCAGGATAGGCGCCGGGAGGAGCACCTGATGGATGGCGAGTCAGTCAGCGAATGTTTGCAGCAACACATTCAAGTATGATATTTGCAGTATGAGCAAAAGCTGAGATTCTTACCGTAGCCTGCATTTTTTTGTTTTTCAAGTTGATGGAAACGGGAATTGGAACGCATTTCGACACAAAAACAACGAACAAGCGACAATTTCAGTGAGCATCATGAATTTCAGATTATTAGATTGTTTGGATGAGCATCCGTAGTCAAATAGTCAAAAGCGAGGTTGCTGTTCGATTTCGTTACCCTAAAAAACCAAGAAACAAAAAAAGAAACAAACAGATAAACAGAAACGCAAAAAACAAAACAAAAACAGTGAGCAACGAATTCAACAGAGTACAAACAAGCGATGATTGCCATTCAATATACAATGGAGTGTCGTGCGCAATGTAGTATAGTGAAGGACAAAGCAGAAGAACAGAGGACTTTTGAAAATTTGAAAAAGCGCTACAATTCCTTCCATCCACACCCGTCCCTTTGAAGGGGTCCCTCTCGATGTCGTGATGAGAGTTTGCTTGAGTCTGACCGCATTGCGCAGTTGTTGCTTTGCAGTCAGAGTGCAGGCGAATGGCAGCGAAGCAAGAGCCAAACAAAAAGGAAAATGGATAAAAAATGCGAATCACAATGACAAACAGCGTCATCACCGCTTCGAACACGAGCAAAAGCCGATCCAGCCATCCCATCCCCAATCATCACCAACGCGACCATCATCGCACAATGACAAGGATGAATGAACTCGGCAAGCAGAACAAGAACAAGAAGAACGAAGTAGAAGTAGAAGAAGCGAAGAAACAAACCTGATGAGACATTGTTTAAAAAGAAAAAAAGGAGGAATGGAATCGAATTGAAAATGTTGAGTTTTGCCTTCTTTTGGCATTTTCATTTCGTTTGTTCACAACAAAAGTTCAAATGGATCACAAAACATGGGCGCGAGAGTTTCTACGTCCTCAGCTAGCACTGCATTGATGTCGTGATGTGGAGCGAGAATGAAGGGAGAACAAAAAAAAGGGGAGGGTCGACAGCGAGTGAGAACACTGGCAGAGAATTCGGATGAGAGGGTTATACGTCCCAAACCACCACCACACCCCTCTGAGACTGCGCTCTGAAGCAAGCAGGAAGGAGCAGTCGGCAAACGGGGGTTCACAAAGAGTCCAGACTACAGTAGAAAGGAGGGGGGGGGAGAGAGAGGGAGACGAAATCTGTTGACCCAGGCCAAAAGTCTTCCAGGTTCACGACGACGTCACGATCGCAGCCGCTCCGAGCAGAACTCAAGACAACCACGTCTTGCCTTTTGAGGTTTGTGAACCAGAAACTCATCTCAAATTGGCTCAGCAAGGAGTCCAGTCAGAATGGTTTGCGTTTGGAACCAACAAGTTCGCATCAATCTGAACCAAGTTCACTCACTCCGTCACTCAACAATGACTCGAGCTGCGTCTGCAACCAGCATGACTGCGGCCGCGTCGTCCAGCAAGGCTCGAGCGGCAGATCGCCAACCAAAGCCAGTGACAACCAGCAAGAACAGGAAGGCAAGGAAGGCAGCAGCAACGCCAGTCACGAAGCGACGAGAGCTCGGCCTGGGCTCGCTGGCAGCCCTCACTGACGAGATGCTCCTGGAGATCATGGGCTACCTGACCATCGACGAGCTGCGCAGGCGAGTTGGGGGAAGTGGGGAAGAGGCGAATTCCTGGTGACTGTGGCTGAATCAAATGCGGTCATCAAACTCATTCTTGGTCTCACGGTGCTCCCGACAGTGCATCTCAAGTCTCGCCAATGTTCTACGTGCTGTGCAGCGACGAGGAATTGTGGATGAACCACTGTCTGGCAAAGCGTCGCGGTGATTTCGTCTACAAAGGTACCACACCCCTTTCCTCTCACTCCCCCCAGCTCCCTCTCAATCGATTGCTGGTTGAATCACAAAAGCAAACGACCCGTCACGCCATCTCAACAAAAACCGCTGCTGTTTATTTTCAATGCCAGGGAGCTGGAAATGGACAACCCTCGCAGGACGCGACACGCCGATGGACAAGTTGCCGCCTCCAATCTACATTCAGGGCATTGAATCGCTCTTCCTCTATGCGCAATGGTGTCGGCGAAACATGACACTGAGCGACTACGTCCCGGCCATCCAAAGCGTGCCGCGGTATCGCCTAATCGATCCTGAGGACGGATATCCAGACGTCGCCTCGAGCACAGCAGTCCCGGCCCTCACCCCCGAGCAGTGGCGTCGCGGCTTTGACGAGCCGGTGCTTCCACTCATTCTCACCAATGTCTGCGAGGGCTGGCCCGCTTTCACAGAGTGGTCGCTTGAGCGACTGGCCGAGCGCTACCCAAACGTCCAGTTCCGCGTCTCCACCAACGCGCCGTTCAGCGTTCGAATGACGCTCAAGGATTACTGCGCCTACTTGGCAAGTCAGCGCGACGAAGTTCCCCTCTACGTGTTTGACTCGCACGTCGGCGGAAACTGTCCAGAAATGCTTCACGAGTACAAGGTGAACGCGTTGATTGTTGGCGTAACCGATCCTGCATTTCGCATCTCCTCATTGACGAGGCGCACTGAACATGTGTTTGGCTATTGTCTGCAGGTGCCGAAGATGTTCCTTGATCACGACTATCTGGCATTTTTCGGGAACGAACGACCTGATTTTCGCTGGTATGTTCAAAAGGGTGCTCCTTGGTGAATGCGCAGTGTTCTCACCATTCTTTTGATACCGCCTTGATAGGATTGTAATTGGACCACCTCGTTCGGGAGCATCTTGGCATGTCGACCCCACGCACACCTCAGCCTGGAACTCGCTGATTGCTGGTCGCAAGCGCTGGGCCTTGTATCCTCCTGGCCAAATCCCTCCCGGTATGGCAGTTTTGCTACTGTTAGATTTGGTTGTGAGCTTGTGATGATGCGAGGGCTGACGCGCCTGTGTACTAGGCGTTGAGGCCATATTTGACGACCACGGCAACATTGTCGATTTCAACGCGCCGCCATCGTTGCTGTGGTACCTGGAGGTCTATCCGTTCCTCGACCCAGAAGAAAAGCCAATTGAGTGCGTTCAACATCCTGGCGAAACGATCTCCGTCCCTGCGTAAGTGCCCTCCAAACGCTTTTCATTCTCCATATTTACTTTGCTCAACCTTCCATTCTCCTTGCATTCTTGGTGCAGAGGCTGGTGGCACATGGTCCTCAATCTGGACTATACTTGCGCCGTGACACAGGTGGGTAACATGCTCACACTCGACAAGCTCAGCAAGGTCGACAACCCACACTCAATGATTTTCTTCTCTCCCTCTGTGTTGTCACTCTCACAGAACTACTTGAACGTCAACAACCTGGAAGACGCCCTCGGAGACCTCAGACCGCATCGCAGATACAAGGAATTCCTGCAATCGCTCCTCGTCAAGCAGCCCGAGCTCGCAGACACCAAATTGTTTTGCGAGAGGGCTTTGCTCCAAGAGGGAGTTGCGAGCAAGGCAGAGTTCATGCATCGTCTGACGAATTTGAAGGAGTCACCTTGGCGCAATCGCGTTGGCAGGGTGCTGGTTCGACACGGGCTGCTGCTTCCGGAAGGCGAGCCTCACCTGTCAACGCCAACGTCACCAACACGTCCATCTCTCGATTCGCCCAACACAAATCTGGCGCTTCCTGCCGACTTTGCCATCAAGAATGTGCAGCATGGCGAGAATCCTGTCTTTCAGTGCGACCAAAACTGCTACGTCAAGTTTTATTCGTTCAGGTCGCGCGAGTCGGACCCCTACACCCACGAGGTCGCGGCATTGGAGCGGATTGCCCTCGATCCCAAGTTGTCGAAAATCTTCCCTCGTTTGCTGGGCCATGGCATGCTGCACTCTGAGCAAGAAGTGGCTCAAACAGCACCCACCGACCCCACCCATGCCTTTGATGCGTGGATTCCAGCGGTGCATGTCTCCAACGAGCAGAGCAAGCGTCGGACTCAGTTCAATAATGCGCCCGACTCTGTTCCAATCCGTGCCGTGAATGGGCATCATTTCAAGCACAACGATGCCGTTGTTTCTGTGCCAGATTCGAGTGATGGCGCGACTGCACCGAGCGAGACGACTCCAGCTGCCATGGCCACGCCGAACAATGGCGACCAACACGTGACTGCGCCGATTGTTTGGCGGTGGCCGTACACCATTCTCGAAGCCAAAGCAGGCATTCCCATGGAGGATGTGGAAGACGACAGTGCCATCAATTACGATGCGCTGGTCGAGTTTTTGTCGAGTAATTTGACACGGTTGCACAAGCTGGGACTCGGCGATGATCTTTCTGCAGGCGCACCACATGTCCTGTCTGAGAGTTGGGCCCCTGCTCTGGCGGAACTGGAAGCCCGACTCGCCAAATGCTACCATCTGCATTGCTTCTGGTCGATGCTGCCCTTCCAGCTGCTTCAGCAACTCCCTGCATATCTCCCAGCGAGCATGACTGAGCTTGTCGACCAATCTGTGCCTCCAGCCTTGTTGCACGGAGATGTGCACGTTGCCAACATCTTGATGGTCGAGCGACGCGGAGCTGGCGGCGGTGGTGGTCGGACATTGTCGGCAAAGTCCAAGCACGCGTCCAACGAGCGCAAAGCTGCCGGGGCGACGCGCCCTCGCAACTCTGTGTCGCACTTTATCTCGGCGGCAGAGATGCGGCGACGCAGTCGCCTGCAGAAAGAGCGAGGCACTCAACCCAGTGGAGCAGGAGGGCTCAGCTTTGCTGCCCAGCGCCGTCGCAATGTCGCAGTCACCACCACCGTGACTATTGTTGGTAAAGGGGGCGCAGATCTCAAGTATTCTGACGCGAGCGAAGACGATGAGGCAGACGACGTTGGTATTGCACACGGTCTTGATGATGTTGACAACAACGGCGAAGATGATGACGACGATGACGACGACAACTACGAAGACGTGGACGACGCCCCTGTAGAAGTGAAAATCGGCGTTGGCAACGCGCAAGCTCTGGCAGAGGCCCTGGAAGCTGCGCGGGTCTCGTACGTGCCGGCGCACATTATCGATCTGGGCGACAGCCGCGTCGGTGATCCGATGGCAGACCTCATCCCCATCTACTTGTCCGTGTTTCGGTGCGACAAGAAGCTCCTTCGGCGGTTTTTGGCATTGTACAACCCAGCTTTGCTGGCGTTGCTCTCGTCGGATGCTCCCGCTGGCACCGCCGCACGCAAGAAGGCCATGTGCTATCTGCTGCTGCATCCAGTGAATGCCATGCATGCCGTGTTCATGTGCCTGCCCGCCAGTTTTGCCGTGGCGACGTGGGAAGCGATGGCCGAGTTGTTGTGGCGGTTGTGATGGTTGCTTGCGCGGTCATACAAACTGTTGTTGTGGAAGTTGTTTTTTGTTTGTTTCCCTGCACCCGTGATCCTTTCGACCACGAGTCTCACTGAATCAATAGACTCTTTGAGTGAAGCGTCGAGCGAGATCGAGACTCGAGACTTGTTTTGTCTCTCATTCACAGCACATCTGCTTTTTGATCCATTCTCCCACTTTCTCGAGATACAGTACACCATTTCCGCTCACTCAATTCGGGAGTGTGTGAGTCAGTCTTACTTCTTTGTTGTTTCAGACACTTCCTACAAAAACATGCTTGCTAGCCGTCTTCTTGTAATGCTTGTTTTTTGGTGTTTTTGGTGTTTTTGGTTGTTCTTCCTATCCCAACATGCGCCCTTTATTCGTTTTCGCTCACCGCCCCCCCCCGCGTCACCTGTCTCTCCTTTTGCTTCTCGCATTTGGCCGTTGCAGAGCACTGTTGCCCGCCGCACGTTCATGACTGCCGCCGCCGCGCCGTCTGTGGCTGCAGGCGCTCACGGTGCCGCCGAAGCTGCTGCCGCTGTCGCTTCGGGCGTTTCGTTCAACCTCACTCCCGAGCAGCTCGAGTTCCAGGACGTTGCGCGCAAGTTTGCCGCCAACGAGATCATCCCTAAGGTTTGAATTCCCCCTTTCACGCTTTTCCGCTTCTGTCGCCTCCAAGGGTCCCCCCGTTCCATTGGGGGTTGCCGATCGTCCAACTGACTGTGGAGACTGTGGCGAGACTGTGGATTCAGCCACAAAAACAACAACAACATGCTCTTTTTTTTTTTTTTTTTTTTTTTTTTTCCTTCTCGTTTTCTCAATCTTTTGTTCGCCGCCAACAATGTCAGTGCATCGGTTTCGCACTCATCCTCTGTTCAGATTGTTGTTCATGCGGACGACTTTATCGACAGCGACAAACACAAAAACGATCGACTATCTGCTATTTTATTTTATTTTATTTTATTTTATTTTATTTTATTTTTTTATTTTTTGGGTTTCACGTGAAGTTGACATTTCGTTTTTTTTATTTTTTTTATTTTTTTTTATGGATTTGGTTGAGTTGCATTGCGTTTACTTTGAGACGACCTTTGGAAGGGGGGTGGGGTGGGGTGGCAGGACCAACAACCTGATGATCATCCTGCAATTCGATCCATCTCCAAAAAAAAAAAAAAAAAAAAAAAAAAGTTGCACTTTGACTTTGACTTTTGCTTGGTGTGTGAAACCGCAATGTAACACAACACTAAACCGCGCTCATTTGCTCTCATTGACAACAGGCCGAGTACCACGATCGCACGGGCGAGTACCCCCACGAAATCATCAAGAAGGCCTGGGAGAACGGCTTGGTACGTTGACAACCCAGGAAACACGACTTCAAAGCAACATGAAAACTTTTGATCCACACTCATTCACACATCAACAACACAACCACCCCTTTCGACAAACAGCTCAACCTCTACATCCCCAAGCAGTACGACGGCCTCGGCCTCGGCAGCATGGACGGCGTCCTCATCTGCGAGGAGCTTGCGTTCGGCTGCACTGGCATGTCCACCGCCCTTGAGGCCAACGCGCTTGCCGAGGCGCCCGTCATCCTCGGTGCCAGCGAGGTGCTCAAGAAGAAGTACCTTGGCCGCATGACTGAGGCACCCCTGCTGGCTGCCTACTGCGTGACCGAGCCCGGCGCCGGCTCCGACGTCGCTGGCCTCAAGACCACCGCGGTCAAGAAGGGCGACGAGTACATTATCAACGGCTCCAAGATGTGGTAAGGCATTGGAGTGGGTTTGGGGCTTGTTTTCTTAGGGTTTCATGTCGCTTGCGTGCGAGTGCTCAGAGTTTGGATTACTTTTTGTTTTTGGACGACGGTAGGATTACTGGCGGTGGCGTTGCCAACTGGTACTTTGTCCTGGCTCGCACTGGCGACGCCAACACTCCCACTGGCCGTGCCTTCACTGGTGAGTCGCCCCCCGGAATTCTCACATTCTCAGCGTACCACTCCCGACATCCCGCCCTTCGACTTTGAGCTCATTTGGTGTGTTTGGTTCCTACCCCCCTAGGTTTCATTGTCGAGTCGGACACGCCCGGAATCACCAAGGGCAAGAAGGAGGACAACATGGGCCAGCGTTGCAGCGACACCCGTGGCATTACCTTTGAGGACGTGCGCGTGCCTGCCTCCAACGTTGTTGGCGTTGAGGGCGGCGGTTTCAAGCTCGCCATGGGCGCTTTCGACCACACTCGCCCGTCTGTTGCTGCTGGTGCTCTTGGTCTGGCCCGCCGTGCTCTCCACGAGGCCGTTCTGTACGCTCTTCAGCGCAAGACCTTCGGCAAGCCCATCGCCGAGCACCAGTCTGTCTCGAACATTATTGCCGACATGGCTGTCGGCGTCGAGACCTCCCGTCTTGCCGTCTGGCGCGCTGCCACCGAGCTCGACGCTGGCAACCGCAACACCTACTACGCCTCGATTGCCAAGTGCCTTGCTGGCGACACTGCCGTCAAGAACGCCAGCGATGCCATCCAGGTCTACGGCGGTCTGGGCTTCAACAGCGGCTCTGTTGTCTCCAAGCTTTACCGCGGTGAGTTTTTCGAGAAACTTTGCTGCGAGTGTGCTGTTCCTATCATTCTTCTGACTATGTTTGTTGTCTTTGATTGTTTTTTTTTTGTTCTTTCTTCCTCGCAGATGCCAAGATTTTCCAACTGTACGAAGGCACCCAACAAATCCAGCGACTCATCATTGCTCGCGAGCTCTTCGCCAAGTACCAGGCGGCTGCCAAGTAAATCTCGTTTGTTTCGTTGTTCTGCTAATCCATATAAATCCACTCAAAAGCAACCCCGCAAAGATTTGTTCATCACTGCAACAAAGCGAAATTGAGGTTTTCAACTGATTGCAAAGATAAACAAACACAACAGGCAGTGTATTAGTCAAACACCAAATTTCAAGAAAAAACAAAACCACAGCACAACAAAGTACAAATCACACTTCCAAGACGCTTAGTCTTGGTCCATGGCATTGTCGGTAAAATCTGTCGCAAAGTCATACGCGCCATCGTTATCGGCAAAAGCAGCCACGGCAAAGCGGTTTCCTCGTGCCTTGGCGGGAGCAACGCTCATCGGCTCGTCATCCTGCTCTTCGTCGTCATCGTCGACGTTCATTCCGCCAGTGCGGGCGCTACGACGTTGTGCCTTCTTGTTGTTCTTCTGGGCCTTCTTGAGCTGCTTGCCAGTCTGGGGGTTGAGGGCGTCTTCGGCGGCAATCAACGCGGCCTGTCGCTTGGCGGCGGTTGACAATTGCGCGACAGGTGCAGCAGCGCCTTGTGCCTGACGGTACTCTTCAAGAGCCTTCTTCTGCTTGCCCTATCAAGTCCAAAAGGGAAGGGGGGGGGGAAGACGCGAGACCAAAAAAAGTGAGATCGAATCACAAACGATTTCAAAAAACGAAAAGCCAGCCAAAGAATTCAACTCCTTTTGTTTGTGTCATACCTTGATCAAGGCAATTTCAGCAATGTTTTGGAGACCAACGCCAGTAGCCTCGGGCTCAGCCTGTTCCATCTCGGCATCCTCCTCGTCATCGTCGTCCTCGTCCTCCTCTTCGTCAGAGGCGAGATTGTCCAGCTCCTCGAGATCAACGTCAAGCTGGTTGGCCTCACCGGCGTTCATGGGAATGAACAGACCCTGCTCACGCTCGGTGCGCAAACCGGCGAGAATTGTCGACTGATCCTTCTCAAGGCTTTGCATGTCAAACTCTTTGCCCCAGGTCGAAACAATCTCGGTCTTGAGGTGAATGCTAGCGTCTTCCGCTGGTGGCAGCGTGTAGTAAGGGATACGACCAGAGTTCCAGTCTTGGAGGATGGATCGGGCGACGACATCAATATCAGCGACACCACCCTATCGCGACAAACAAACAAACAAACAAACAAGCAAACAAACAAGCAAACAAATGAGCCCTCAAAACAATAAACGAAAACCAAAGCATGGCGCAAGAGCCGCCCCCCCTCCCCAAAAACACTCACCTTCTTCAACTTGCCGCGCTTTTGCGCAAGCATCACAAGAAACTCGGCAGGACTCTCGAAGAGGGGCAGGTTGTAGAGCTCCATAATCTTGTCGCGGGGGCAGCGATTGAGGACAATCTCGACATGGGCTGCCGGATCCTCAATCTGCTCAATCTTAACAGCGCCACGCAAGACGTTGTCGGGGTTGCTGGTGCCAGACTCGTCGGGGAAGACGATGCCGGGGCAGTCGAGCAGCTTGATGTTCTTGTCGAGGTGGATTTCTTGGGCTTGACGGGTGACGCCGGGAGTGGGACCAACGTTGCAGGCCTTGCTGCGCTTGAGCGAGTTGATGATGGACGACTTGCCCACGTTGGGCTGGCCAATAATGCCCACAGTCACGGTCGTCTTGATGTCGGCGTTGCGCGAGTAGTTCTTGAGGAGCTTGACCAGCGTGTCGGCACCCAAGCACTCGCTGGACGAAAGGAGATCCGAGCTGGCAGTGGCGGTCGACACGTTCGAGTGGCCCAAGTTGGTGCGCTGGCTCTGGGTCGAGGCCTTGAAGGCAATCGTGGGGAATTCGAGGCGGAAGTGCTTCAGCCACTTTTCCACCACCTCACGAGGCACCAAGTCAATCTTGTTGAGAACCAACACAATCTTCTTGTTTGGTGACAGCGACATGATGCGCTTTTCGATCTGTGGGCATCGGCATCCGAGCGGGTCACGGGCGTCCAAGACTTCCAGAATAACATCGGCGGAGGTGACGACCTAAGGCAGAGAGAGAAAGAGACAGAGACAGAAGTGGCAAAAAAATCAGTCACTGGATGCTCTCGGACATGACTCAATAGAACTGCCTAGATGCCTCACCTTTTTGAATTCACGGTAGAAGGCGCGACGAGACATTTCGAGGCTGCGACCAGTGTTGTGCTCGACATCCATGCTGCTGCCGTCGCCCTTGTGCTTCTTGTCAAACTCGGCCTGCTTCTTGTTGGCAGCCTTCTGCAAGTCAGCAATGCTTGCGTTTCGGCGCTTTTCGAGCAGCTTTTCACGTTGAAGCTGTGCAGTCGCGTAGAAACAACAACAACAAAAAACAGTGAAAACCGTGTCGTAGAGCAGATCGTTGAGAGATACGAGCCATCAAACTCGTGTTGCAACACACGGAGTATACACATTCTCCACTCCGAGATGAACTGGAAGTCTAGGAGAGAGAGAGAGCACATGGATGACGGATTCCGCTCAAAGCCTCACCTTTTGCTTTTGTTTGACCATGTCGGCGTGCTCACGCTTGGCCTCGCGCTGGATGAGCAGCTGTTCCTTGAAGGGCCACAGGTTGGGGACGCCGGGGTCCTTTCGGATCTTGGACGCCGTGGACTGGCCCGGAGCAGCGCCCGCGCCGCCGCCCTTCTTGAGCTTGCGATTGTGCTCGCGGACGTTCTTCTTGATCTTGTACTTGAGTGCGAGCGGCACGCGCTTGCTTCGGGCTGTAAAGACGCACAGACACATGAATGCATTAGCAATACAGACAGAGCACGTTTGCAGGAGGTGTGTGTGTGTGTGTGGGGGGGCTGAGGTGCAGTGGGACTGAATGGATTGAGGGCGCCATGTGTGCTTTCCACATGGTTTGAGCCAGTTCGCACTGGGACCTCGGCGGCGACCCATCCGCATCGATGCAAATGCGAAAAGTGGTGCTTGTTCGTCATACAAGCATGAAGGGAGTTCGGCCGCAGAGGGCAAAGCAGAGAGGGAGGGAGAGAGAAGGGCAATCCCAATGGTTTGGCTTACAACGCATTGTGCAATGGAAAGTCTAAAGACAAAAAAAAAAAGAATAAATGCAGGTCTTGTTTGGTAATTCGCGTCTGATCAGTGTAGAAAAGTAAGAAGAAATAGAAGACACATGGTCTGGTCGTGCTTGTTCTGGTGAAAAGGGTCATTTGAGACGCTGCGATCGTGAAGCGAAAAAACTCCAATGAACACTTCACGCCGACTGACTTTGCAAGTCGAAATCCACGACAACGAGTCTCCCACCTCTCGAATCGATTGACCACCACGCTGCACGAGTGAAACAGGCTCACACAGCGGAAGAACCGGGACATCCAGATCTTGCTCCCAGATGTTCCGACCAGTATTGAGCTGAAAGTGAAAGCCAGTGACCGCCTCCCGCCCGCTCATGGAGCCATAGGGCTTGCATCCAAACGCACATTCATGTGCATCCAAACGAACGCTGCAAGCACACCTGAATTCCGCATCTATCAAGAGCTGTGACCGGATTTGGCAGCCTTCATCATTCTTGTTTTTCTTCGTTTTTTCTTTCCTTTCTTCTTTCATTTCCTGTTGGACCGCCTGCGTCTCACAGCGCGCCAAACTTCAATCCATCACTTTCACATCGTTCTCTTTCTCTTTCTCTCTTCCTTCAACCTATCGTAGAGCCTGACCTGTGCAAAGGGCAACACGAACTTTTCAAACAACTTTTTTTTTTATATTGCGCTGTTTCACTTTTCACCAAAAACCATGAGCTGGCTGGCGGAAGAATGGAAGAGCGGCCTCAGCGCCAAAGTCCTCACCAAGATCGAGGAAATCGAGCAGCAAGTCCAGCGCCTGACGCGCGACAACGGCCAGAAGCAGCTCCACATTGAGACAACTGAGGTAAGAACGGTTTTGCGAAAATGAATTCACATTGTCTTCTCCACAGTTGTGCTTCTCGTCACCCTCCTTCCCATCGCCAATCCGCAAGATCTCAACCAGACACACTTCTCTATGTCGATGGCAACGAGATCAAACGCGCGAATCAGTGAACAAGCAAGATGGAAGCGCTTTTGAAACAAACGAAACACACAAAAATGGCGCCGTTTGAAATTTGAATCACGCATTTTCGCGCGCAAATTTCAGTTTGGCGCGAAACGGTTGGTTTCAAAAAAATGGTGATGGTTTCAAACTTTTTTTTTGCTTTCAGTCTCACACACTACATGATGCTCTCAATGCCAACAACGACCAGACACCCCATCTCAATCATGATCTCTTTGGAACTGATCTGAACTGTCGCTCGTTTCATCGTTTCTGACTTGATTTATTTTCTTGACACTCTGCCTTGCTTCCAACCCACAGGCTTCCCTCGAGAAGGCACGCAGGTAATACACGCCTTCTAGACTCAGCGCTATCGTTGATCGTTCTTGTCTTCATTGAAAATCGGTTTTGCTCACTGTCCGTTTTTTTGTTTTTTGGTGTTTTCAGCGCCGAAGCCAATGCCACCAAAAACTACACCACCATCCAACGCGAGCTCACACGCATTAGCGACGAGCGCAACCGACTGGACACGAGCAACAAGAAGCTCGAAGCGGAAGCTGGCAGCCGCACCCAACAACTCCAAGTCCTCGAGGCGCAGGTTGCCAAGGCTAAAGAACGCACCGACGCCGACGCCGTGCAAGTTAGCCGCCTCAACGCCGACATTAGCTTGCTCCGTGAAAACCTCGAAAAGTCTCGTCGCGAGGCGTCCGACAAGTCTGCCGATCTGGCGCGCGTGCTCGAGCTCAACACCAACCTCAACGCGCTGGTTGCGCAGCACCAGTCCACCATCCGCGAGGCCGACAGCACCCGAGGCCGACTGGAGACGCAGCTTCTCACGCTCGAGAAGCAGCTGGACACGATGCGCCAGCAAACGACTGCGGGTGGCTTGACCATGGCGGACGTCCAGAGCAAGCTCGAATCGACACGTTTGGCTGCTGAGGATGCCCGCGCTCAGTTGCTCAAGTCGCGCGGAGAGGCGGATGGCCGCAATCAAGAGCTCACCAACGCCGTTGAAAAGCTGCGCGGCCAACTCGTTGCCTCTGAAAACGAACGCGAGAACGCCCGCGCCGAAACCGAGCGGATGCGCCTCAGTCTCGAAAACATGCAGAGCGCGCGCAACTCGAGCGCCAGCCAGCTGCAGCAGCTAGAATCGCAGCACGAGGCGCGTCTCGCTGTGATTGCCCAAGAGTTTGACAAGGAGCGATCGGCGTCGGCGACATCCGCTGCCGCGCTTGGCCAGCAGCTTCGAGAGAGCGAGCAACAACTCGCTCTGCGCACCAAAGAAGTATCGACACTGGCTGCCCAGTTGCAAGAAACGACCGCCCGAGTGAGCGAGCTTGAGCACGAAATGACGACACACAATGCCACATCCAGCGGCGACTCTGCGGCTTTGGCAGAACTGCGGGAGCAGCTCCACGTTGCTCAGCGCCAGGCCGACGCCGCTTCTGCACAGGTTGCCAAGCTCGAGGGCGATCTCGCCGTTCAAGCCGGATTGGTGACGCGCGCTCAGCATGCAGCCTCCGAGGCAGAGTCGATCGCTGCTGGCGAGCAGGCAAAGGCCCTTGCCGACCTGACGGCCAAGTACCAAGCAGCGAGTGCCGCGGTTGAGCAAGTCAAGTCCAAGGCGGCTGCTGAGAGTCACGAGTTGTCCACGACGAACGCCTCGCTCTGCAACCGACTGGAAGCCGTGCAGCAAGAGTTTGCAGCACTGCAGGCAGCCCACACTGCGCAGTCGGCCAAATTGGACTCTGTCGCTCATTCGCATGCCGTCAAGGAGCAACGCATGGCCGAAACCATGACGAAACTGACCGAGACAGAGCAGCAGGTTGCGACTCTGCAGACTCTTCTCGAAAAGTCTTCCGTCCGCGTAGCAGAGCTCGAGCAGCAGGTTTCTTCCAACGCCACAGACGCAACCAACCGCGGTGCGACCGTCTCGCAGCTCAACGCGCGCGTGGCCTCTCTCGAAGAAGAATGCAGCCGCGTTCGCCAAACTGCCACGCAAGAGTCGGGCGTGTTTATTGCTCGCGCCGAGGAGCTTGAGATGGAGCTTATTTCTGTCAAGCAAACGCTCGCGCAGACGACCGAGGCTCTGGCGTCAAAGGAAAGCCGCCTGGCTTCCACCAAGAGCGAGCTCCAAGCCGTTAGCGACCAACGCGCCACGATTGCGTCCAACCTTGAGTTGCTGCAGATGGACGTGGACGACAAGGACGCCATGCTCCACCAGCAAGAAGTCAAGTTGTCGAATCTGTCGGAAGAGTGTGCCAGGCTGCATGCCCAAGTTGCTGCGCTTGATGACGCGAAAGAAAACCTGACGAACGGGGCCAGCAACCGCGTCAATGCGCTCCAAGAAGAGCTGGGCGTCTGCCGTGCTCGACTGCTCGAGGTGGAAGGCCAGCTTTCTGCCACATCGCAGTCGTCGCAGGGCAAGTCGGATCGGCTGGCCTCACTCGAGCGTGCTCAAGCTGCGCTCGACCAACAGCACGCCGAGGCTGTTTCGCGTCTCGAAACCGTCTCCTTTGAAGCGGAAGAGCTCCGTCAAACCGTTACCAACATGACTGCGGACCTTGACCGAGCACGCACCAGCTCTGCACGCCTCAATGAGCAACTCAATGCAAAGGAAGAGGCGTTCATGTCGCTGCAGACGCAGACAAACAAGCTCCAGACCGAGCTGCACGATGCGCGGGAGACGCTTTCGAGCGCCGACAAGCGGCAGGCGGCTGCCCACGATGAGGCGCTCGACAAGCAAGCCCGCCTCGAGTCTCTCTGCAACAAGGTGGCTGAGCTGGAGGAGGAGCTGCAGAAGAACGGCATTGCCGCTGAAAAGCGCGTCGCCGAGCTGAGCGCCAATGCCCAACGAGCCCAAGGCAGCGCCGAGTCCGCCGAGCTCAGCATGCAAGAAATGCAGGCACAAGTCTCGGCAAAGAATGCTCAAATCCAGCAGCTTTCTGACGAGCTCGAGTCTTGCGAAGGGCGCCTGCGCGAGCTGGTGTCTCAGCACACGCAGCTGGTGGAAGTGCACGCACAAACCCAGGACGACCTTGCAAGCAAGGCCACCCAGCTCTCAAATGCCGTCACCCTGTCCAAGACGCAGACTGAGCAGAACGACTCGCTCAATGGTCTCATCGCCCAGGTCCGATCCGACGCCGCCAAGGCAGGCGACGAAAAGACCCTTGTCGAGGTTGCGTTCGCCGAGCTGACCCGCAAGCACCAGACCACCAGCGACAAGCTCGAGCAAACCGAAAGCAAGCTGCTCGACACGCGTGCCATGCTGCAAGCCGCTGAGACCAAGATTGAGAGTTTGTCTGCTTTGGCTGCTTCTGGCACGACCGACCTCACGACCAAGCTCCAGGAGACGCGTGATCAGCTGGCCACCTGCCAACACTCCCTCGATGCTGAAAGGACGCGTGTCAGCAAGCTCCAGCACACTCTTGACAAGCTCACGGAAGAAGACAACCTGCTGATGCAAAACTTTAAGGCGACGACCAAGCAGCTTGAAACGAGTGACGCTGCTTGGAAAGCCGAGAAGGCAGCATTGAGTGAGAAACTCGATCTGGCAGAGCAGAATGTCCTTGGTCGCGAGCGAGTGCTGGCCGAGGTGCGCGCCAAGCTTGCCGAAACCTCCAGTCTTCACGAACGCGCAGTTGCTGGAATGGAAATCCTGCAGCTGGACATGGACGATGCCGCAGCCGAAGTTGCATCAACAAACCAGCAAATGGACTTCCTCAATCAGCGCATGAAGGGCATGACGCGAGATTTGCAGCAATCCCGAGAAGAAGCGGCGTCGTTGACTGCGACCAAGAACACTCTTGTCTCAGAGCTCGAGAAATCGGCCATCAGCATGGCCGATCTGCAAGCCCAACTTGGTCGCGCCAACCTGACCTGCGAGCAGCGTCAAACTGCGATCGACATGTTGAAAGACCAGTGCAAGGCCCTCGACGCCAAGCTCAGCGGCCACATGAACGATGCCGAACACGCCATGAGCTCGTCATCTGCTCAAGTTGAGAGCTTGCAGGCCGAGCTGAAGCAGTGCACGTTCAAGCTTGAAGCAACTAGTCAACAAGCCGAAGAGCGGGCATTGCTCGTCTCTCGCTTGCAAGAGCAAAACTCTGCACTGGACTGCAAGCTGCAGGGTGCCATTGGCAACGTCGAGCGCCTGGAAGCGAGCCTGGCCGATTGCCAAGCCGAACTGACCGATGCAACGCACAACGTGTCTGTCACCCTTGCTGCCAAGAACCATCTCGATCAAGAGTACGCAAGCACGCGTGCCAGCTTGAAGGCGGCAGAGACCAAGTTGGCCGAGTTTGAGGCGCTGACCGAGCAACAGGAGGCGGACCTTGCCAATGCCAAAGCGGACTTGACCGATCGCCAGCTTCGTTTGGACAACACTGCTCAGGCCGTGGCGGACTTGCGCGCCTCTGTCAACCAGCTCCACGTCCAGGTCAGCGAGCGCGACCAGGCGCTTGTGGATTGCGAGAAGCGCTTTGGCAACCAGCTTCGCTTTGTGCAAGAAGAGTTGGACACTGCTCGCGAGCAGCTTGCCCGCCGCCACAGCGACGGCCTTGAGCGGTCTGAGCGTGTCGTCACGTTGATGTCGGAGCTGGAGCAATCGCAGGCCAAATCTGGCGTGCTTCAGACCGAAATCTCCTCTCTCAAGCAAGCCGCAGAAATCAACCGTCGCGCATTGACGGAAATGGAACAGACGCTTGCCGAGACGGAGGAATCTTGCGTGGACCTCAAAGACCAAGTTCATCATTTGAGCATCAAGCAGACCAGTCTTCAGCTCGAGCGTGACCAACTGGCCGCGGATGTTGCACGAGTCCACCAGCACTACCAATCCGAGCAAGCAACTGGCGAACGTGCCTCGGAAAAGGCGCTGGAGGCTGCCAGCCTCACGACCACGGCAATGCTCCAAATCGAGACGGTGCTCAAAACCACTCAGGGTCAGCTTGCCGTCTTTGAGAGCGATTTGCAAATCGCTGCAGAGCAAGTCGACGTGTATCGCACGCGTGTCGCTGCACTCGAGTCTGAGGTCGAGCGCCGCGCGACAGACTTGACCGCCAAGGATGCAGAACTGCAAGCCGCGCTCACGGCGCTTGAGGCCAAGAACAGCGAGTTGGCCGTCGAGCAACAGAACGCGGAGGGCGATGTCCGGTCCTCGCAGTTGCAGCAAGAGGCGGACCGCGTCTGCCGCGAAAAGCTGGAGGCCGAAGTCGACAACCTGCGCGCCAAGCTGGCTGCTGCCGAGACCGAGAACCAGAGCTTGTCCAACGACCTGGCTTCTCTTCAGCGCGACATGGATGTTGAAAAGCACACAATGTCCGACTGGGAGGCAACCTTGAAAGAAACCACCTCCGAGCGCGACAGCTTGCAGGACCAGCTTGCTACCAATCTCCGCGTCCGTGAAGAGCTCGAGCAGCAGATTCGCTCGCTTGACCTGAAGGTGGCCGAGTTGGCTGACGACGCCGCAAGTGCGCTCGAGCAGCATGCTGCCTTGTCGCAAGAACACGACAAGGTGATCTCGGAGCGACAGGCCGCACAAGCGGACGCGCTCAAGCTGGCTGAAGCGGCTGCTGCCAATCAGAAGCGTCACGATGCGACGACCACTGCCTTGGCTGAGGCTCGCACAATGATTACCGAGCTGCAGGCAGCTGTGGAGTCCTCCGGCAAGTCCAGCAGCGAAGCCACTGGCGAGTTGCAGCAGCAGCTCACCGAAGCGCTCAAGCAAGCTGAGGCGTCTGATCGCCGAGCGATTGCCAGCAGCGCGGAAAGCAAGCTGTTGGAAGAGAGCGTTGCCCAACTTCGAGAAGAATTGGAGCAAACCTCACAGCTGTGCAAGGATGTCGAGGCGCAGCTTGCCGACACGACCAAGCAAAACACTGCCAACATTCAAGCGCTCTCTGCCAAGCTTGCTGCGGTCGAATCCAATCTCAGCATTGCACTTGCGGACAAGGCCAAGCTCGAGTCGCGAGTGATTCAACTGCAAGAGGTTGAGCAAGGCAGCTCGGCTGAGCTTGCCGAACTGCAACAACTGCTTGCTACTGCGCAAGCTGAGGCAACAACACAGCAAGAGTCGCTTGAGAAGGCCCTGCGCGAGCACCGTGCTGTCGTTGCCAAACTCGAAGTCGACATGGAAGAGTCGGTGGCAACTGCCCAGCGGGCTCTTGACCGCGCTGATGAAAGCGACGCTCGCATGGAAACGATGCAGTCGGATCTTGCCAAGCACCAAGACCTCCTGGCTGACGAGCGCACCAAGATTGAGCAGCTCACCCTTGCACTGAAGGAAGTGAATGCTGAAAAGTCGAGTCTCGAGAGCCGTGTGACTGACGCCACCGCTGCCTCCGACAAGCTCCAGGAGCAGCTCAAGGCTGTTTTGCACGAGCGGGACGAGCTCGAGTTGCGCGTTGCACGGCTGTCGGCTGAAGCGGCTGCAGCCTCCGCCGAGCTGTCGTCTCGTGTGTCGTCTGCGTCGTCAGTCTCGCCGACGAGCTCCAACAAGCGACCGTCTTCCGAGATGTTGAAGGAGCAGGAGGAGTCGGATGTTGATTCCATGCAGATTTCGAACGACGACGGCTCCGAGGTTGCCGCCGAGCCGACTGCCCAGTCGACACCCGTTGCTTCGAAGCGTGTTCGCATCTCCGACGAAGTCGCTGTTGAGGCACCCGCCACCAACAATGCTTCTTCTCCTATTCTCGCTCGCTCTTCGGCGCTCGTCGAAATGCGTGCCTCCGGTGTCGCTGCCCGCGCCTCGGGAGTCGCCGCTCGCGCTTCTGGCGTTGCGACTCGCGCATCCGGTGTCCCTGCTCGTGAGTCTGGAGCTGGTCCCGTGCAAGCGCCTGGCTCGGGTGTGGTGAAATCAATCACTCGCCCGTTGACGCGTGCCAGCGACCGTGCTCGGCTCCAGCGTCCATTGATCACGTCTGGCCTGGCTACTGCCCCAGCTGCTCACACCACTGGTGGTGCCGCACGCATTTCCACGCTGACCAACCGCTCTGCCATCTCTGGAGGTGCCTTGCGCGTTGCTGCCAACGCTGCTCCCACGGCATCACCAGCTCCCGCCGCTCGCGTGCGTCCCACTCTTGCCAGCAGCGATTCCACGTCATCATCATCAGCTGCTGCTGCTGCCACCACAGCATCTGCCGTGCCTCGTCCTCTGCTCTCACGCACGACCGCACCTGCTGCTGTTGCTGCTTCTGCGGCTCCTGCCAACGAGAACGTGACCCGTTCCACCTCTGCCGCGGCCACTGCCATCCCCTCTGCCTCAGTGTTTGCCAGCAAGCGCATCATGACCCGAGCATCGCCAGCTCGTCAAGTTGCCAAGCCCGCCAACACCAACGCGGTGCTTCCTGACAACTGCGCCTTCTTTGATCTCGCATAAAAGGCCAATTTTAATTTTTCGTTTCCCCATCCCTTTATAGTTTTCGTTGATGATTCTCCCCCCCCCCTTATTGTTCTTGTTTTTCACTTTTGTACTGTAGATCTCGGATAGATGTATGTTTTTTAACAAAATGTTATTACCCAATGAATGAATGAAATAAACTTGTGAAGCAAAAGCCTTGATGCAAAATCTTCCACTCATCGACATCCCATCTCATTCCTATACCGTGTCATTCACGCACGTTTTCTCATTCTTGTTTTGGTTTGCAGTCCTTGTCTTTGGCGCTGAGAAATGCTCAAAGTCGCCTTGTTCCAATCTCGCGGCCATCCCGGCGACGTAGCTGCGAACGTCCAGCTCGCCAAGGACACGCTTGCTCAGGCGCGCACGGCCGGCGCCCGGCTGCTGCTTCTGCCCGAGCTATTCTTGAGTGGTAAGCTTGATTGTGCCTCAACGGCGGAGGGGGAGGGCGCGTCTGTGTGTAAGTTCAGGCGTTGGGAAACTGTGTCTCACGCTCGTAATCCTCCGCTCTCTCCACACAGGCTACCATTTGCCCGCGGACGAGCTGCACGCGTGTGCCAGAAACCTCGAGTCCACGGAAATCCAAGATCTGCGCAACGCGTGCCGGGATGCTGGATGTGGCATGGTGCTCGGCTACTCGGGTAGAACTGAGATTTTGAACTGCTGCTTTTGGGGAAATGTCAAACCTGTGCTGAGCTGCTGAGCGGAAACGGTTGCGATGAAAGGACTTGGATGTTGATTGACCCATTTGATGATGTCGCTCACCGTTGAACCATTGTGTGATTGTGTGGACGGATCGCGCTCAGAGCTCGCAGACGCTGGCCAAGTGTACAACTCCGCCATGCTGATTGATAGCAAGGGCGAAATCCAACTTAACTATCGCAAAACGCACTTGTATGGTCCGGATGAAAAGGCTGCATTCACGGAAGTCCCTGCGGCAGCGGCAACCCAGTCGTACACGGCGGTTTGCAAGGATTTCGAGGGGATTCCCAGATTCAACGTCGCTCTGTTGATCTGCTACGACGTTGAATTCCCAGAGATTGTCCGCTCTGTGTGTCTCCACGGCGCAACGTTCGTGGCCATCCCAACCGCCAACTTTTGGACGGGCATTCCACGCCGAGTGCTCCCCACCCGCGCCATCGAAAATCACGCTGTGATTGCGTACATTAATCGTCACGGAAACGAGCGCGGCTTGCAGTTTGGTGGTAGCAGCTGCATTGTCGGGCCGGACGGGGAAGACTTGCTTCGAGCGGCAGACGACGAGGAGCAGCTGCTCTTTTGCACCGTCGATTTGAACAAGGCCGAGTACGTTCACTTGCGCAACGTGAATCCCTACTTTGCAGACAGAAAGCCCCAGCTCTACCAATGGTTGACTGATTCATCGCTGCCAAAATAAACGATCAACGCCGTTGAGAGCGTGGAATAGATTTAGATGGTTTTTGCGAAAAAAAGGCGGGGGGAAGAACAGGCAACAAGAAGTGTTGCGAAAATTGGCTTGTTAAGCATGAAATGTACACTTGATTGGCAACGGCGTTCCACATGTCTAGCAACTCGAGCAGTCAGCAATGATGAGATCGACGGCCTTTTCGCCAATCATGATGACGGGCGCGTTCGTGTTTCCGCCGACCACGTTCGGCATGACTGATGCATCCGCGACACGAAGACCCTCGATTCCTAATGAAGTCAAATTGGCGGGGGTGAAGAGAGTCGGAGGGAGGTCGATGAAATCAAACAAAGAAAAAAACAATCAATAAAAACATCCCAACTACCAAACACCCCCCCCTCCCTCAATAACAGACACCACAAAAACTCGCCAAACGACGTACCCTTCACTTGCAACGAAGGCAAAACCACGGAAGTAGGATCGCTGGCAGAGCCCATCTTGCATGTGCCAGTGGGATGGTAAACGGTCGCCGAGAGGTAGCGGACCACCAGGCTGAAGAATTCGTGCGAATACGGTTCAACAGGAATGGAGGCATTGACAAGGAACTCGTTGAACAAGTCCAGTGTGTGGAAGGCAAGGCCGCGGTAGGCGTTGGTGGTGGTGACAAGTTTGTAGGCGAGAGCAACGCCTCGTGCCAGCGTTTCAACGTCTTCCTCTTCAGCCAGGTAGTTGGGATCGATGATGGGATACGCCAGAGGGTCGTTGGAGGCCAGCTTGATGGTGCCTCGGCTCTTGGGGTGGAGCAGCGTCGGGGCAATGATAAAGCCGTCCTGGTCGCGCAGCATCAGCTCCGTCAAGGATGCATTGTAGTTGAAATTCTGCAAGTCGACGATGGTGGATGCCGTGGGAATGAACTGCAGCTGCAAGTCCGGCATGTTGAGGTCGGGGCGCGCACCCGTTTCGGTAAACAGGCAGGCTTCGACGCCGTTCGACGTGAGTGGGCCACGGCCGTAGACCAGGTACTGGAGCACGTTGCGAATGTTTTCGCTCTTGGGTCCGAGAGTTTCAATGGTCGGGGTGGCAAACTTGAGGGGGGACACCATGTGGTCTTGCAGGTTTTCGCCGACAGGGAGGTCGGCCACAACTGGAATGTCGAGGGCCTCAAGCTGAGCGCGAGGGCCAACGCCCGAATTGAGAAGAATGTGGGCAGAGCCAATCGTACCGCCAGACAGCACAATCTCCTGCCGAGCACGGACGCTGGTGTGGACGGCGTCTGCCGCGCGCGGATCGACAGCACGGACAATCTCGAGGCCGACGGCGCGCTGGGCACCGGCGGCGGTCTCCTCGAAAGTCACGCGCTTGACGGTTGCAAAGGTGGCGACGCTGAGGTTTGGGAATTTGCCGGAAGCGAGCATGGGGCGCAGCAGACAGTGGGTCGGCGAGCAGCGCTCTTGCTTACGAGTGACTGTGCGCGGGCAAAAGTTGACACCGTCCTGCTGCCCGTCGTTAAAGTCAATCAGCTTGAAGCCGGCTTCGACACCCGCGTCGACGAACAGCTCGGTGACGCGGTTGCGATCTTCCATGTCGGTCACTTCGAGAAATCCGCCGTGGCCGTGGACGCTGTCGCTCACCTGCGGCCGATTGAACTGGTAGTTGTCCTCGGAGCGCATAAAGTAGGGCAGCACACTGTCCCAATCCCAGCCCGTCGCACCGCCAGCAGCCCAGCCGTCATAGTCATTCTTGTGTCCGCGGACGTACGCCATGTAGTTGAGGCTGGCCGATCCGCCAAGCACACGACCGCGCGGCCAGTTGGACACCTGGCCTTTCATTGCCCAGTGCGAGTTTTTCTGCGGCACGCTCTGGTAGTGGTAGTCCACCTTGGTGCGCTGCAGCATGGCAGCTGCCGCCGGCATTTGGATTTCGAGCTGAACGTCGGATCCGCCAGATTCGAGCAGCTAGCAACCGATACAAAAAAAAAAAAAAAAAAAAAAAAAATCAGACGAGCCAACACACATCGAGTGAGTGTCTCAGACAAGTCAAAAGTGGCTGAGGTTTGTTCCAATGTACAAATCCCAATGCGAACACTTTTGAATTCTGAATTTGAGGCTGTTTGTGATTGCAACCCAGGGTTTGAGGGGACCGGGCAACTCGGCTCTTGCTTGCTTTGGGTTTGGTTTTGGTTTTGGGTTTGCTTGTCGTTTTGTGCTTGGATCCGCTTACCAGGACGGTCTTGTTGGGGAGTCGCTGAGCCAGGCGCGCGGCAACAACCGCTCCAGCGCTGCCCGAGCCGACCACGATAAAGTCGTACTCTGCGGCGAGCGGCGTGTGCTGCAGCTGAGCAACGGCGTCGGACAGCACAAATGCATAGTAGTACACTGCGACGGACAGCAGTGCCACGAGCGACGCCACCAGCAACCGCGCCATGATCCTGATTCCTCAATGCACCAACAATGAAAAAAAGAGTGAAGTTGAAGATCGAGCATGCTTATGATAGGATTGTCCAATGCAATGCTGATGCTGATGTGATCAATACTGTACGACTCTCAAGTCTGAGAATTCAAGCTCCAGTTCAACACAATCTTTTGAAAAATGGCAATCAAAAGCTCGTTGTTTCTCGACTTTCTCTCGCGTCTGATTCCGGCACGTTCGGATTTCGCTCATATTGTATTGAATATTTGTTGTTTTTCCATCCTTGATCTTCGATCTCGGTCTGAGTTTTACAGATGCAGTCATTTTCCCTCTTTTTTTTTTTTTTTTTTCTTTTCTCGCTTTTTCTACTCTCACAGAAGATGCGCGTCCGTCTGCTGCTGCTTCTTGTGGCCGCGGCTGCCGCTGTGCTTGTGGCTGCATCATCGTCAGCGCACGCGACTGCCCACGGGCGCAACGACCTGGTCGACGTGGAGCGCGAGCGTCTGCAGCCCGACGCCGAGCGTCACCAGCCGCGGAACTGGCGCCACCGCCAGCGTCATGGCTTTGGCTTTGGCGTCGGCCGCACCACCACCACCACCACCACCAACAACAACAACGTCCATGATAACAAGGACGACAGCAAGGACGACAGCAAGCACCCCACCTCCATCGAGTGGCAGCAGGGCGGCCCCGCTGAACACGGCGGTGGTGCAGTAACAGGCGGCGGCATTTTCGGTACGGATGCTGGCCTATTTGTGCTTTGAAAGCAACGCGATCGCAGAGTCGTGCGACGAGATGAGCGATGGCATGTTTGGAAGACGAAGATGACGATGATGATGATGAAGGAGTTGAGGGAATTGAGGGTTGGTAGGAGGGGGGAAGGGGCAAAGCGAGGGGGAGCGCAGCGGCGGCGGCGGTGACACGCTTTTTTGGCTTTGTGGTGGATTTTATTGGTGTGTCACTATGGCCCCAAAACGAGTAGGATGACAATGAAGAAGGGTTGAAGGAAGGAAAAGAGAAAACAGAGGGAAATAAGTACAGCAGGATTAACGGAGGCAAGGGGAGGTGGGTGCGGAGTGAGAGATTGAGAGGGAAGGAGGGACGGAGCGAGGAAACGTCAGCAATTTCAGGTGCCACCAGTCCGCTTTAATGTGACTCCACTTACGCACATCCAGCTCGCTTGAGGGTTGCGACATTATTTTCAAAATAACAACAACATGACAATAACATAGTGAGTGAGTGAGTGGACAAAGTAGATTTTTTGTGGGTCAGCTGCGGGTGTTCCGACAAGGATTTGGGACCAAAACGGGAAATCCATGTGGAGGGGGGACGAGCTCGAGCGCACGTCTCTCTCTCTCTGTGTTTGTCATTCGACAATGAGCACAAAGCCCCGAGTCTCGAAACATAGACGGATGGAGTCGCTGAGAGAGAGAAGAGAGACAGAAGAAGAGGGGAAGGTTCGTGCCACACCGAGTGACACACAACATTCGGAGGTGGGCGTGCCGTTTCCCCCGCATTTCCCAGCTCCAACGAAAACGCAAAACCCCCAAATCCAGACAACTCACCGAACTGAAAACAACAATAATAATAATCATAAAAAAAAAAAAAAAAAAACCCCGACGCAGGTCACTTGGCGGAAATGGTCGGATTCCAGCAAGCAACCCAAGTCATGTTCTCGCTCAAGAGCTTTGGTCGCTGCATTTATGCCGCCAACCGCATGTTTGAGGGCGATGTCACGTTCTCGTCGTCGCCCTCGTTCGAGCACAGCGACATGAGCCAGCCGTCGTCGTCGGGTGTCCCGTCGCAGTCGTACCACCGCGTCGTGTTTGGCCATTGGACCTCTCCGCTGGCGCTCCGTGCCTGCCACATTTCCTTCTCCCGCTTGGTCGAGTCCGTCCAGGCCACGCACAACCTGCTGCAGGAAATCCCCGAGTACCAGGAGCGCGTGCCGGAGGAAATCCGCGCCTACTTTGCCGCCTCCGTCCCTGCGCTCTCGGTGCAGACCTGCCTGCACAACTGGACGTCTGAGCTTCAGCTCGCTCAGTGCGTTGACACTGTCGCAGCCTCCGACGCGCGCCTGCACGCCGTCATTCGCAACTCGGTCTCTGCTCGCTTCGAGTCTGTGACCCCTGGCACGAGGCAGAGCGCATTCCGCGTGGCATACACTGCTGCAGAGTTGCGCACGTGTCTGGCGTCCTCTCCCGGCCTCATCGAGGCTGTTGGCCCTTCCGAGGCCATTGGCGTTCAGACTGTTGTCCGTGCACTCTTCACTTTGATCAAGCGCCGCTTCCACTATGCGATGCTCGTTTCCCATGTGTTTGGCTCTGACGATGACGAGACTGCCGCTGCCGGTGACGCTGACGCTGCAGCCCCTCGTCACCCCAATGCCGCTGCTGCTCCTCACCATCGTCGTCGTGGAGCCGACGGTGAAGCGCACGATCGTCCACATGGCCCTCGCGGCTGGCACTTTGGCGAGGCGAACAACCGCCAGCAACATGGTGCAGGCGCCGATGACCAGCGCGAGGAAGGCCCCCGTCATGGTCCCGGTCACGGTCGCGGACATGTCGGTGGTCGTCGTCACCACGGCTTTGTTCGTTTCATTGTGTCGTTGCTCTCTGGCGAGCATGGCGACTTGCGCCGCTGCGCCTACGCCGGCCAGCACTTTGTGGCGCATCTCACAACTCTGTTGCAGTGCGGCGATTGCTTGTCCGAGCTGACCCAGCAGATCGGCGACTCGCCCTTCATGCAAGCGCATCCGCGAAAGGCGCAACGCTTCCAAACGCTTGCGCATCTGCTTGGTGTCTCCACTCTCGATGAGATCAATGTTCCCGAGGTGGAGCCGACGGGTGGAGCCCGTTGGGCCGGAGGTTGCTGGCGACACGCTCCCTCTCGTCCCGCTTTGTCCCTTCCAATGTCTCGCCCGCTACCCTGGTCTCGCAGGTCGCGCCCTGCCTGTTTGACTTCCAGTCTGCCGTCCAGGTCTACAAGTGCGTCCACAACGCGCTTGGCGCTACCCCGTACCAGTCCGAGTTCCAGGCCATCTGGACGGAGCTGGACGCCGAAAACCAACACGAGCCCAACAACCCCCAGCCCGATGATGATTCGGATGGCTCGAATGGCGACGATCACTGGGTCAACCACCCCAGTGGCGGCCCGTTCTGGTCGCGCTATCCGTTCAACCGCATTCCGAAGGCCGGGTGGATTGCCATCTTTGTGGTGGCTGGCCTGCTTGTCGCCGTCCTCACCGGGCTTTTTGTCGCCATCATGTACCGTTCCGTCCGCACCCCTGTCACCATCAACAAGGCCGCGCCTTCGCAGTACAAGTGGGCCATCTTGCGCTGGTTTAACATCAACAATGGTGCTTTTGCCCCTCTCGCCCCTACCGAGTGCAAATCCAAGCACGTGCTGGCCAGTCTGCCGGTTGCCGTTCCCGAAAACTGGGCGGGATTGAAGAAGAGCTCTCCCGCCACATCTGCTGCTCCAGAGGACAAGCAGGCCCTTCTTCTCGCCGAGGCCGATGCCGTGTAGTGAACCTACCAAATTGTTTGTTAGAATGGGCGAATTTGCTGTAGATTTTCCTGGTATATTCTTGTTACTTTGTACTTTTGTGATTTTGCTCTGTGTTTTTTTTTTTCAATGTTATTGTTAATAGATGCTTCCATTTTGACTTCCCCCCCCCCTTTGTGTGCACTCGAGGTTTATTTGCGGCATAGCTTTGTGCCCCGCGGCTCATGCAAATCACTTGTTCGTGCATCCTTTTGTAGATCTACACATTGTGTGGACTCGAGGGTTGTTGGCGGCATGCAAATCACTTGTTCTTTTTTTTTGTACACATTGAATCTTGTCGTGCATCACAGAAGCAAAAAAGCAAAATCATTGCTTGGCACAATTTCACATGTTGGCTGCCAGGGCTGCTGCATTTTCGGCACGACGGCGTCGCTCAGTGACGAGCATGTTGAGAATACCAACAGAAGCCACGCCCCACCCGAGCGCTGCAACAACCATGAGCTGGGTGTTGGACCCGCTCTTGGAATGCGCATCCTCAGCGGCGTAGTTCACGGCCATGTCTTCCTCGTCTGTGGCCTCACGTCTGTTGGGGCGGCACACGCAGTCAGTGTTGACAGGAGGGGTCGCCGACTTTGAGGGCTTTGGTACGACGACTTCTTCTTCCTCTTCTTCACCGGGCACCGTCACCGAGCCATAGTTGGGGTAATCCGCTCTGGGCTTCTTCCACGCAGCGGGAATGGCAGGCGCGGCTCCCTTCAGATTATACCCAAGAACCGAGTAGCTGGCGTAGTGATGGATGGCGTAGCCTCCCCAGGCCGAATATGCTTTGAGAGCGGTGCTGGAGGTAGCCAACTGGGCTTCCAGAGGACCATAGCCTTCTTGCCAGAACGACTGTGCATCAGGTGCTGGCAAGGGACAAAAGGCATGACAAGAAGTGAGTCCCAATGTTCCAACTCTCCCCCGCTCACAACTCGAGACCAATTATTTCGACACAAGCAACTGCGAGACCTTACCAGAGTTCTCATCAATGGATTCCACGCCAACCATGATCTTGATGTTGCCCTTGACGGCCTTCAGGTTCTGGATGGCCTTGTTTTGGAACGGAAGCTGCTGGTCGGTGTAGTCCATAATGCCCAGGTAGTCGACAGACTGGTCCTTCATGAAGCCATTCCAAATGTCGGTGGCAGAGGTGACATACCAGACGCCAATGTCGGCCGCAAGCGTCATCTTGGGATCGCCCTCGGCAATCAGCTGCTTGCACGCGCGGTAAATGGCAAGCATGTTGTCCTCAAGCATGTTGTTGTACTGGTCCGTGCCACCCGCGCTGTTGCTCGTCCAAAGCGCTCCCAAAACGTGGGGCTCAATGTCCAGGTGAATGCCGTCAAAGTCATCTGTGGCATCGGATGTGCCCTTGTTGAACGCAATGACCTGGGACACGACGTTTTTCGGAGTTGCCGCGAGCGCCGCGCTGGTCGTCCACTGCGCATCGCCATCAAGGTACTCGACAAGAACGCCACGAGCATGAGCCTGCTGAATAAAGCTGCGCATCTGGGTCGCGCCAGTGCCCGACAAGTACTTGGTGCCGCAGGACAGGAGAATTCGGTTGATGGACAGACCGGGATAGCCATGCGGGGCATTGACAAAGTCGAGGAAGCTGGTGATGCTGGCCTGGCTGCTGTACGTGATACCGCCCCAGACCCACATTGCACGGTCGCCTTGTCCAGGCATCTTCTTTCCGGTCGTGATAACTCCCGTCCCGGTTGAGCCGCCAGTCGGCTTGGAGGTCGAAGTCGAGGTCGATGTTCTGGTTTTGGTGGATGTCGAAGTGGAGGTGGAGGTTGACTTTGAGGTGGAGGTTGACGTTGAGGTCTTGGTCGTCGTGCTCTTGGTGGTTGTGCCAGTGGACGTTCCGTAGCTCGGGTAGTCGGGTCGAGGGCTCTTCCAGGCCGCCGGAATCGCCGGCGCAGCGCCCTGCAGCCAGTATCCGAGAGTCGAGTAGCTGCCATAGTGGTGAATGGCATATCCACCCCACGAAGAGTATGCCTTGAGTGCAGTGCTGGTCTTCAAGAGTTGCGCCTCGAGCGGACCATAGCCTTCTTGATAGAAGGACTGCTCATCGGGTGCTGTGGAGGGAGAGGGCGATAGTTCAAGCGCAAGAGATGACAACACAAACAAACAAAACGCACAAAAGCACAAAAAAAAAAACGCACAAAAAGCACAAAAAAAAAGCAAAATCGTTCACACACACAAAAACAAACAGAGGTGAGAAATATGGCATCGAACATGGTGTCGAACACTTGCATTCGACACTCCTCCACCGGCGAAAAAAAAAAGCGACTTCCAAAACGAGGCAACAAACAAGAACGCTGCACCGTCACCCGGAGTTTTGGTGTTTTTTTTTTGTTTGTTCGTTTCTTACCCGAATTGGGATCAATCGACTCAACGCCAACCATAATCTTGATGTTGCCCTTGACAGCCTTCAAGTTGGCCAGGGCTTGAGTCTGGTAGGTTGGCTGGTTGTCCGTGTAGTCCATGATGCCGAGGTAGTCGACGGACTGGTCGTTCATAAATCCGTTCCAGATGTCGGTGGCGGCAGAGACGTACCAAACACCAATGTCAGCCGCAAGCGTCATCTTTGGGTCACCCGCCACAATCAGCTGCTTGCAGGCGCGGTAGATGGCGAGCATGTTGTCTTCGAGGAGGTTGTTGTACTTGTCCGTGCCACCCGCGCTGTTGCTCGTCCAAAGCGCACCCAGCACATGGGGCTCAATGTCCAGGTGAATGCCGTCAAAGTCATCCGTTACGTCGGCGGTGCCCTTGTTGAACGCAATGACCTGCGAAACGAGATTTTTGGGGGTCGAGGCGAGCGACGCACTGGTCGTCCACTGCGCATCGCCATCGAGATACTCGACAAGAACGCCGCGAGCGTGGGCCTGCTGAATAAAGCTGCGCATCTGGGTCGCACTGGAGCCCGAGAGGTACTTGCTTCCGCAGGCGAGCAAAATTCGATTGATGGACAAACCCGGATAGCCGTGCGGAGCGTTGACAAAATCGAGAAAGCTGGTGATACTGGCCTGGCTGCTGAACGTGATGCCGCCCCAAACCCACATTGCACGATCGCCTGGTCCGGGCAGCTTCTTTGCCGACGCCTGAGCGACGGTGGGAGCGGCGAAAAGTGCAGCACAAACCGCCGACACAATTGCCACCACCGCCAGCATCCCAGCAACATGTCGTCTGCCAGAGTGGCGCGTTCTCGCTGCCGAGTTTCTGGACGAGATGGCCAAGTCAACCATGGTCGCAGTAGAGTGGAATGAAAAAGCAGGTGAATGAGAAGAACGAAAGGAAGCTTTCGGAAAGGAAGGGGAGCCAAAAAAAAAAAAAAAAAAAATACTGAAAAACGCAGAACCAGAAAGCAAAAAAAAAAACGGTGGATGTGCGAGCAGAGCACTGCAAGAAGAGGAACAAAAAAAAAGATGGAGTGGTTGGAAGTGTTCGATTTTGCGAGCGCGTTTTAAAGCGCCAAATGCGCCGAACCCTCACTTGCGTGCCACCCCTGAACAGAGAGGCGGGAACGTGATGCATGTCGCATACTTTTCCGGTTGGTATGGACCTTGCAGGGGATTCTCAGTGCGGACCGCAAAGCTTCAAAAACAGTGGTCAAATCAATCAAACCGCCACCGAACCGTTTGGTGCTGGTTAAAATTTGAACGCCGTAGTTGAACGCCGCGCTGCCTGCCATCGCACATTCAGTCCCATCGACAGCAGCGCTCGATCAGTTGGATTGTTGGTGTCTAAACACAGGCACTGTATCTTCAGACAGAGTCGCCACGGGAATAGGCTGCGTGTCAACCGCAAAAAGGGGAGAAAGGGTGGCTGAGAGTCCAAAACCAGTAAAATTGAGTTTGAGGTTCTCTGCATAGTTTTCGCTGCGGTTTGGTTGAATATTCACTCAATAGAGGACGGCGCAGGTGCAATATTCCCATTCGACCTGAAAATGCCAAGTTGATCAACCACGAATGCAGACCAACGGTATGCCGTTGGATTTTGGCGGAGGAATGCGGTGTTGCTTCCGCAGCGCCAAGCAACAGGCAACAGGTTCCGTCTCCAGGTTGCAGCGGTTCAAGCAAGAGATGGTCCTGCTGGAGTTGGATGAGTTGTGCTGTGAGGGATCTCGAAGCACACCGTACTCGCTGAACGAAATGTGCTTGAGGAGCGACAATGAGAGTTTATTGGTTGCATGTTACATTTCTACACTGTTACACGACAACAGTGGCGGAAATTGTTTGTGACAGCGCACATGATCATGCCAAGCGAGGCCAACGTGGTTCCATCGAGCGCAGGTTGGTGAACTCGGATTTTGAAAAAAACTGGACACACAAATGTCAAAACGTGGCGAGGATCATGCCGCCCGGGACGGCTCGGCTGTACTTGTCTTTATTAACGCATCTCAAATCGCACTTGCAAGACCCGAAGAAAGCTCTCATTGTGAATCGTGAATGGTTGTTCACTTGATTTTCATCCAAACGAAGGTTTCATTTTTTCTTTAAGCTCTTCTGTTTGATCATCCTGGTCGCGCGTGGCGTGAAGTCGCAGTGATGCGATATGTTGTACATAGGGTTGACTGTGATGTCGCGGGCAGAGTCGAAAGAAGCAAGCAAGCAGCAAGGTTGTCAACCAAATTCAAACACATTGTGAACAAAAAGGGCTCATTTTTCTTTGCTTTTTTTTGTTTGGTCTGTTTTGTCTTTTCTTTTTCTTTTTTGTTTTCTCCCACCTATTTTGTGCAACAGTAAGCGAAAGGGCACCGTCCAACCCGAGGACCGATCCACCCTTCTTTTTCGATTTTCTCGTTTCCTTAGAGGGGGTCTCCGCCGTATTGCGAGAGTCGACTAGGCAGCTTAACGACAGGGCGTTGAGTCTGAGCCCAACGTGTTCAGAGATGCCCTCTTTCGCTGCCTTGCTCTCGCTCTCTCTCTTTCTCTCTCTCTCTGTCTCTCTGTCTCTGCCCCCCTCCTCTGATCCTTGGATGCGTCCTGTAGAAGTGACGGTGCAAACGGGACGGCGGAGCCCTCCGGCTGGCCTTGCCGGCAATGAGTGAAAGCAAACAACAAATACAATATTGATCGAGCCGATGCGTCATCCCGTTCCCACGCACTCTTGAAGGCGCATGTTGCCATTGAAAGCTATCAAGAAGTACGCATGGGAGGCGAGGCGAGGCAGGCAGACAGGTTACGCGCAAAAATGCAGAGAGTTCGAGGGCTCACCCACACTATCGCGAGCTGGACAAGTGGTTGGAGCCATCCATCCACACACAACAGGCTTTCTGCACCATGTCATTATTGCTGCGAAATGCAAGCTCACTTTGTAACTGTCTCTGAATCACACCGCACTTTTCCGAAAGACGAAATAACGCATAAACAGATGCGAGTCTTGCGGTGGTATTGGATCCAACTGCTGGTGCTTGCAGCCATTGCAGCTGCTGTGCCGTTCGCGCAAGGACAACAAGAGCCTTGCAGCATTACCGTCTCCGACGTGACTGCGCTCTACAACGAGCTTGGCTCCCCAAGCACGAGTACAGTTGTGTGCATTATGCCCGGAACCTACGCCTTCCCCAATCAGCGAACAATCAACCGATCGGTTTCGTTTCGAGGTCTGGGCACCCGCCCGGAAGATGTAGTCATCTCCAATCAATACGGCTCTCAGATTGTGTTTTACGTCACGAATGGCGCGGGCCTCAGCGTGAATTTTGAGAATCTCAAAGTTACTCAAGGCTCGGGAGCCATTTACCTGAATACCGGCGTCAGTTCGGTCCTCAAGAACGTCATTCTGGACGGCTGCACCTCGACGACGCAGTCCCAAGCTGCCGGTCTCCACCTCTTCGGCAGCAACAATGTTGTGATGACAGATTCGGTCATTTCCAACAATCAAGTTTGGGGTAACTATTTAGAATGTCCTGACTTTGTTGCTTGGAGCGGGAATTGTGGTATGGTGAGACTCACCAACGCTGCTCCTCACCAACGCTGCTCCTCAGATTATGGTGCCGGCATGCGTATCGGGTCGTTCTCGAACGTCCAACTCCAAAACGTTGCGTTCTCGAACAACGCGGGCGCTATGTATGGCTCAACCAATTATGGTGGTGCCATCGCCATTGACACTGTGACCACTGTTACTGTCACTTCATGCACAGTACGTTCCGGCTCGTTTTGTGGCGTGACTGAAATGGCCGCCTGGGCTGCTTGAACCGAGGATGACTCACCTTTTCTCGACTCTTAGTTTACAAACAACCGAGCCTATTCCGGAGGCGCGATCGGCGTCAAGGCTGGAGTCTCAAACTCGCTGTCCATCTCCAAGTCCACGTTTACCGGAAACACTTGTGCGGGCTCTGGCTGGGGCCATGCCCTCAGTCTCGGAACTACATCGAATGTAAGCACCAGCGCAACGTCGCAGCTTGAATTGAACGTACAAATCTCATTCCATCGCCTGAACAGTCTCGTACAGCAATCTACAAGAGCACGTTCAATGGCAACTATGTCGCAGGCACCGCAGCCAGCTCTAGCATCTATACTGCGTCCGGTGCAACCACTACTTTGCTCATCTACAACATGATCACTGCCAGCCAAGTGTCGTCAAACGGGTTTGCCAATTCGGACGTTGGCTTCGGAGGCAGCGCTACAGTTATTGCGACCAACGCCGATGTTAGTGCAGTCAGCAAGAGCGGCACTCCAACCTGGGTGGGCTTGGATCTT